GGAGCTCCGAAGTGAGAGCCGGTATCCTCCCAGCCTAGCCACGGATTCAGTAAACAAGCATAGGATTAGTGAAGCATAGGATTCAGTAAACAAGCATAGGTAAAGAATAGGATTGCTCCTATTTGACACATACAATATTTAATGCATCGCATTCCTTTACATTATCCAATTCATTACATAAGAATAGTAATTTTTAATATCTCAAAATTCTCCAAACCAATTCATCCAAAAAGGGTTATCTTTAGAATTAATATTTGCATTTAGGAGTAGTTATTAGTTGTGTTAAACTTAAGACTTACATTTAGGAGTATCTGTTAGTAAAACCTCTTAAATCGCACTTCCAAACTAATGACTAATAGTAGTAGATTAGAATTTGACTAAGGACCTCTTACCTCGCTTCCCTATGAGATCGATAAAAGAGACTCCACTAGAGTCATGTATTACTTGAGCGATACGTATACTTGCGTTTGAAATTGTCACTTTACAAAATCATTATAAATATATAAATCTGGGTTCATAAATTCTTGCATATTTAAAGTTGCGTCAAGTTTTTAATGGCCTTGTCGGGGATTTAAATCTTCTAGTAGTGGTGTCAAATTCTTGTATTTTTAAGCATATATAAATTCGATGTCAGCAGACAAACAAGAGAAAGAATAGGGAAAACTTCTGTGTAGCAAACCTCGCTCGGATAAGCCAAGCATAAATGTCCGAATAAGATTGGACTGAAATAACTTATGTCAAATATCCGTGAAAGAATGCCTATGAAAATTACTCACAACAAGAGATTTATGTGTTTATCTGCTCTAGGGTCTAGAGTACTCCCAAGTTGATGTATCTCACTTAATTAATTACATCGTGGGGGTTGCCCAGAATACTCTTGATCCAGAGGAGTTTCGCTTACATTAGTAGTGACAACCGGCGCAGGGTTATCAAAGGATGGTCATTTCACGTAGGAAAGTTTTGATGCTTTCAAAGCTCCTACTAAGCCACGGGGCAGAGAATGAGTCTCTCACGATTTCACGTGGGTATATAACAGACTCATCAGCATATGAAGCCTACGAAATAACCAAGTCACCTTGAAAGGGTATCCCTATACGTCAAACCACACCGTGTCATAAAGGCGGATGACAAATTGTCGTTTTCCAAACAGGATGTAGCTCATCGATAATCAGGCCATCTAGATGATATCAACGAAGGCAGAAGGAGCGATAAGGCGCAGTAGGGGTAGTCAAATGAAGGGATGAGTAATCTCTAAAAGATAGGTAATCAGGTCAAGTACCACTAACCTATCATCGCAAGCCACTAGGACCCTAGTCTACCTAGTCGTTGAGGTAGTCGACCAACACGTTCAGAGACCCCCGTCAGCAATTCGTGAATTGCACCATCCACTGGAACTTTACTAGCCTTAAGGTCAAATGAACGAAACTCTATGTTACGACTATCAGGTGGAGCTCCAAGAGGTTGAACTTATACCCGCCAAAGTGGAGTGGTTGCTGCTAGAAAGAAAAGAAAGAGAGGTTTAGTTACAAAGCTGGAAACGCTCCTAACGAAATGACCTACAGCCCGTCTGAGTCGAGGATCCTTCTAACGACCTATATGTTTTAGACAGCCTCCTTTGTAAAAGGATTTGTCCAGATAGTCGACCCAACACTTCCATATTTATTTTTGCTGATCATTGAACACCCATACTTAATCCACTGGATATCATTTTTTGAAATTGTTTGTATTTTGTGATCAGTAATTTGCATTATTAATAATATAAAATGTTATTTTCTTAACCATGATTTTTCTTAGTAGATCGGAGGAGAAAGTGAGCTTTCATGAGTGTTTCATTACTTTGAACATGACAAAATGTGGTGTTTCGACATTTTTTTCTTTTTCAAACGGTACCATAATTTTCTCAATATTTTGTTGCTTCTGAAAATGCATGATTAATGTCAACCTTATGATTAATTAGGTGTATCGTGATTCTTAATTTAAGTAGATTTAAGAAAAAAATTATAGATATTCTTTTATTAGCATGAGCAATCACACTAGAAGTGCATATCTAAATTTTGTATTGTTATGAAGTGAATTTTTGTTTCTGAACTAAATTTTCACACACACACACACACACACACACACACACATATATATGGTAAATTTCTTAAGATTTGTGGTGCTGATGCCTTACAAAAATTATATTGTTGAGGTTCGTATTTTCTTTTGATCTAGGTAGGATTGTAAATGAACCAATGCAGCTGATGAACAACTCGGCTATTCAATCAGATTTGTTCAAAACAATAAATAAATTGGTTTGAACTTTTTCTTTAAAAATCCAAGCTTAAATTAATCAAATTTGAACATATTCTAGCACATTTGTTAATGTTCATAAAAAACTCATTTGTTGTTCGATAATTAACTTGTTAAATGCTCCAAGTTATTAGATATATTTTAAAAAATTAATTGATTATAATTTATTTAATAATATATTTAATAGTAAATATTATAATTTAATATCAGCATATACATAAATTAAAAGATTTATTTATTTATTTTTTATTTAAATAACTTGATTTATTAGTACTTATTTATGTTATTTGATTGCAAAAAATGTGATAACTTATATACAATTTTATTTACTTGATATTAACTAGTTAAATGCTAATTCAAAATCTATTCGACTACTTTATATTCATAAGATCAATTATAAAAAAAATTATATAAAAAAATCAAATACTCATTTAAAATTTTAACATTTTTTCTAATTTTTTTATAAAAAAACATTTACAAATCAAATGCCTGACTTTATATGAAAAACTAATTAATCCTTTGAATTTTTAGCTGTTTAATTAATATAAATAATCCTAATAAAAATCAAATATGAATACTAAAAATTTTTAGCAAACCAAGCATAAACATATTTTAAAGCTTCGCTCAAGCTTGAATTGAACACAAACAACTTATAATTCAACCAAATCAAGTCCAAACGCATACTATGCTCGACTCGACTCTGGCTCGATTACAATCCTAGATCAAGGTAATCCCCAGCCGCTTCGCTCCTCTGATTTCAATAACCTGTTTTGGGTGGTTACAACTTCTTAAAAAGTTGGATGTAAAGCTGGAGAAAATATTTCGTCTGGGCACTGCATGTCTGGAAGACAAATCACATGCGGTCACGTTGTCATACACGTCATCGGCAGACAATGTGACCGCCAGTAATTGACCGTCTGGATATGCAAACGTCCGGACAGAATATGTCTTCATGAAATTATGGGTTAGAAGATAATTTTTAAAAGGTAATTCAAAGGAGAAGCCCGTGAGATGGCTGGCGTTCACGCGCCGCACGTGTAACGGAAGCTCCGATTGCGACGCATGCGGGAAAAGGGCGTCTTCTTCTTCTTCCCTCCATATTGCGCGGCTACAAAAGAGGAGCTTGAGATCCCCTCGCCCACACAAAGCTCCTATAAACCGCCCATCCAGCGTGCACAAAACCAGCACCATCCTCTTTAAATTTAGCCTCTGGTTTCTGCATTCTGATTCGGAGCTAAATCCATCTTCCCGTCTCGGAGAAAGGGGCAATTTGAGGTCTGGTGTGGAGAGCATCGAGATCGGCCGACGACATAAATGACTATAGGCTTACGGGAGCTATTCAGATTTCTGGGGGCGTCAAATCTCATTCTGGATGCGGGAACTCGTTTCCTATCCTTCATCACTTTGCTTTCTTCCCCTTCACCGGAATACGGCGGAAACTTGACTCTTAGGAGCTCGGCATAGCGGTTCTCTGCAAACTTTTTTTCCTTTTATCTTTGAGAAATGGAATTTGTTCGCGTTTACAGGTTCTGTTTTAAATATATGTATAGAAGGGGGATGTTCGGTGATTTTTAATTCTTCTACGTCATGGAACTTGATTTTTGTCTGAGAATTATGGAGATCTGAGCTTCTTTTGTGGAAGATTCTGTAATTTTTTTTTAAGAATGTTATATGAAAAAAACTGACATGCAAAAATTATCTATGTCTACTGACATGCAGTCTTGCCATCCACATTTTTAGAACTAATAACAATTGCCTAGGAGTTTTTTATCTCTTATTTGAGCACTTGCATTATGATTAATTGTAACTGTTGGTTTTTCGTTTGAGAAGGTTGAGGAGTTATAAATTGTAAAGTCTGTAGTTTGAATTCATGGTTTTGGAGATCCTTTAACGTAACACTTTATCTTACCAATATATATATATATATATATATATATATATATATATAATAGAACAGAAGTTAATCTCTTATCATCTCATGGGATTCAGTCATTTGTTTGCGGTATGGGATTCGAAGAATATGTAGGCTGAAAATTGAAATTATTGATGTTTAGATTGTATGCGACGTCATAATTCTGTCTTGGACTTTTGATTTGTTGAACCGTTTTCAGCTATGTTTGATGATCATATTAATTATGAGAGCTAGGAGGACATAAAGAATAATTTGCCTACTTGATAGGCCCTGCAACTAGCATGCTTCAGGAGATTTTGCTTTTTTTGTTACATAAGTGTTACTAGTAGCATTTGTATAGTATAAATATATTCCAACAGAACTTGTATGATTGGTTCTTGAAAGACTAGAAAGGTTTCAAGTATTGATTTGTATGCCTTTGTCTATATCTTTCAATCTAACTTTTTTTTTCCTTTTCTTTTGGGTTCATGATGTTTTTTTCTCTGCAACTTTTCAAGCATATGTTTTTCCGCCATTGTGTATATCTTTTCATTTATTTATTTTATTGGGGCTCCATAATGTTTTCTTCATTGTAACATGCTATTTGCCCTTTTTTCTCTTATTTGGTTTCACAGATAATGGCAGTTCTAGAAGTTAATGGCATCCCTCTTAAGGTGAGCAGACAAATTGATGCAATTGTTTGTTCTACTTTGTGAAATGTGAAGTGATGACCTGTGGTCAATAGTTTTTCAAAGCACATAGTTATTTTTTAAAGATATTTATATTTTATACTTGCTCATTTCTGCTGATTGGTCTTGTAAAGGCTTTGCATGGATAAACTTACAAGAAACTTTTATTATAAGGATTACAACTTCATGCCTTGTCATACAGAATAAGGAAATTGCCATGTATAACACAACTTGTGTAGATGAAAAGGGAATCTCTCCCATCACTGAGGATGGCTCGGTGGACAGAAAGGGAAGACCCGCAGTCAAATCAAAAACCGGAAAATGGAAATCTACACTTCTTTTACTAGGTAGGCTATATCGACAAAAAAATTGAAGCTTATTCTGCCTGAGTGAAATTTGAACTCCAGATTCTTCTGGGTTGTTCTGTCTTTTGTGTTTAGTGCTTCTAAACTGTTTTCATAAATGAGAAAAAAAAAGAAAAAAAATTTAGAAAATGTTCACTATTTATTTGTTTGGATCCATCTCCATGATTTGCATTCATCATTCATTATTATTATTATTATTTTTTGTAATGTTTTACTATTATTGTTTTGGTCAATGCAGTGAACTATGGTCTTGTCACATTTGCATTTTTTGGACTTGGGGTTAATCTGGTTCTCTTCCTAACAAGAGTAATGCAGCAAGAAAATGCAGATGCAGCAAATAATGTTAGCAAATGGACCGGCACAGTTTACATATTCTCACTCATTGGTGCCTTCTTGAGTGATTCCTATTGGGGCCGTTACTTAACCTGCGCCATGTTTCAGTTAATCTTTATCTTGGTATGTACTTGAGAAGTGCTTTTTATTTCTAATCTTGTCTTAAATCTTCAGTTATAGAGTAATCAGCATGTACAAGTTGCATAACTTGACTTGCAAAAAATTTTTTTTAAAAAAAAAAACACTAACATCTGATGCCACACTCAAAAACATTAAATCGCAATTTTTTATTCATAAATCTAATCTAATTTTGATTTAACCAATAAAGTTTTTCAATCTCGGTTTGTGCTAGCTGGTCTATGAGAAAAAAGTGATGGCACAAGATTGAATTTCCAAGTTTTTCTTTGTAGTTTTGAATATGTGTATAGTTTGCTTCACACATTGTGAAACAATCTTGGTTCAGTGTGATTGTTACTCGCTCCATCAAGCCAATCAACTGTCATGTTAGAAAATTGTGTTGTTTGATAATATGTTCTTTCCACGAAATGGAAATTGTTGTATGGCAGTTTTCTAAAAAACTCTGAATCATCATATTGTGAAACAAAGCTTCGGTCGTCTTCTTGGAGCTCAAATTTGTTTTGGGAGCCTTTTGCCCTTCCATTTTCTGAGCTCGGTAATATCGCCACCAAGGCCTTGATCTTGTATTGAATCATTTATTTGATTATATTTGGACTTTGCTCTCAAAATTCCTATAAAGTTTTTTTATTGCAAAAAACTGCCACTTTCCCATTCTTTGTAATAGCAATCTCTCTGTTTATCTATCAATGTTACATGGCGATAAAATTCCGTCTTTTATCAATGTTACTATCATGATCAATGGAAAATTAGCTAATTAATCTAATCTTTTCTGGGGCTCATCTTTGCAGGGACTCGCCCTTTTATCTCTTTCATCTTGGATTTTATTGGTGAAACCTTCTGGATGCGGCGATGGGAAACTACAATGCGAACCAATTTCAGCCGTTGGAACTGTCATGTTCTATATATCAATCTATCTAATTGCATTTGGTAATGGAGGATATCAGCCTACGATAGCTTCGTTTGGACCCGACCAGTATGACGAGAGGGACCCTTCGGAATCTAGTTCAAAGGCAACCTTTTTCAGCTACTTCTATGTTGCTCTTAATGTAGGCTCTCTCTTCTCAAACACAATCTTGGTGTACTATGAGGACTCTGGACAATGGGTTATTGGATTCTGGACATCAACTGCTGCAGCTGTTATTGCTTTTCTTTTTTTCTTACTGGGAACTCCAAGATACAGGCATTTCAAGGCATCAGGCAACCCCTTGTCTCGCATTGCACAAGTTTTCGTCGCTGCTGCCCGAAAGTGGAAAGTTAATGTCCCTGATAATGATGCCCTGCTTTATGAAGTGAAAGGAAAGGAATCCGCCATTGCTGGTAGCAGAAAGATCTCCCACAGCTATGCGTTTCGGTATGTAACAGCCCCCTGTCTCTATTAAATAAAAGTTGATTTTTGATTCTTAGTTTTTGTTGCATAAAGTTTAAGGTGGTGAATTTACTTAAAATATATGCTTATGGCATGTAGTTCTGGTTTTGCGCACTTATGTTTTTCAGGTTCTTGGACAAGGCTGCAACTGTGACAACTGATGCATCCTCTGTGTGGCAAGAAGCCAAGAGTCCATGGAAGCTGTGTACTGTAACTCAGGTTGAGGAGGTTAAATGTGTGCTAAAGTTGCTTCCCATCTGGCTCTGCACCATAATTTACTCAGTTGTCTTCACCCAGATGGCCTCCCTCTTCGTCGAGCAAGGCACGATGATGAACAGGCGCCTTGGTTCATTCAGCATCCCTCCTGCCAGCATGTCAGCCTTTGACATCATCAGTGTCATATTTTTCATCTGTATCTATCGTCAGATTCTTATGCCGGTGGTAGTAAAGTTTACAAACAATCCCGATGGGCTAACCGAACTCCAGCGGATGGGTGTCGGGCTCGTGATCGGTATGCTAGCAATGATTGCTGCTGGAGTCACTGAGCTAGCCAGGCTGAAGAATGTTACAGAACCAGATCAGGAGAGCTCACTCACAATCCTATGGCAAATTCCTCAGTATTCCCTCATTGGAGCTTCAGAGGTGTTTATGTATGTCGGGCAACTCAAGTTTTTTAACGGGCAAGCCCCTGATGGCATCAAGAGCTTTGGGAGCTCCCTCAACATGGCTTCCATCTCACTCGGCAACTATACAAGCATCATACTGGTTAGTGTTGTGATGGCTGCCACGGCGAAAGGAGAGACTCCAGGATGGATCCCGAGTAACCTCAACGCCGGTCACCTCGACAGGTTCTTCTTCATGCTCGCAGCATTAACGGCCGTGGATTTGGTCTTTTATGTGCTCTGCGCAAGGTGGTATAAGGGCATTCGGATTGAGAGCGACATTGATGAGGAAGGGATTGCTTCAATGTCTTAGTTATTGGAGGAAAGAAGGTTTGATTCCTCCTTTGAATGACAAGAGTGGTTTTTTTTTTGTGCTAGAAGTTGAGTTTAGTGTTCTTATAAATTATTTTGAGATGTCTGTTCCTTCTTCTCAGATTTAAAGTAATATTTTTATGCCAAGTAATGAAATAAAACTTAGAACCCAAAAGTTTCATGGTGTTGTTTTAATCATTATGCACCCTTCATATTTGGTTGGATGTTCACTGTTCAGCTTTGGGTTTGATAAGCAAGATAGCAGGAGCTAACTATCTTATATTTTTTCAAAAAGTGCTACTTTTAAAAAAAAAGGAGCACTTACATGCGCACTACCCTATTCCTATGTATTTACATATTTAACATTTACTTTGCTTTATTACATTTATACCAACCAAATCTTTCATATGACAATGTAAATGCTAATGGAAGATTTATATATTGAGATTCAATGGTTTCTCCAAAAAAATTAAATAAATTAACTTTAATCTCCAAATTTAAAATTAGTATCTTGGGGATAATTGGACTGACTTGGGCCCACCAGGCATGCTGAATGAGAACTTTGACTCATAAATGTTGAATTTTTATATGCACAATAAGATAAAAATTACATTTTTTTTTACTCATAAATGTCAAAATCATATTTTGACAATCAAATAAGCTCAAATTATATGAAAGTGATTATATCACATATAAGCAATACTTTAACAAAGTACACATGAAATAGAAATAGTATGATATTCATCATAAAATAATCCTAAAAAAGTTAGATAATAATTACATCATTCATGTTCTTTAAATTTACATATCATTCTTGTTCAATTTTTTATATTTATACCATCAATTCTTTCCAATCACACAAACCAAAAAATAAATAAATAAAACATATATTTTCATGTATAGATAATTTTATATATACATAGAAATTAAAATTAAAATATTAAAAAATTTAAGTACAAAAGAAATAATCGTTATGTATGTCCATAAATTAAAATAAAATTTTGTCCCAAATTAAAATAAGGGTGAGAGAGATTCCAACTTCAACGAAAATATGTAGAGGCGGCTAGGGGCTCTGCTTGTTTGCTTAACGAGCCGAACACGAGTCGTTCACTAACAAGAGTCTTTTTGACAACCCTAATCACGTAGTTATAAGATGTTAAAGATTAGAGTAAAATTTTAAAATTATTATTTATATTAAAATATCATTTGAATTTAATTTAATATTTTTTATTCTATTTTCTTAATTAATAATTTTAATTGATTATAAATCTTTGTAGCCTTGTAGTCAGTTAATTTTTTTTAAGAATACTACTCATCAAAGATATATATATATATAAACTTTATTAGTGTTATTCGTGTTCGGCTCATTACATTAGCGAAAGAGTCGAACACGAGCTTCCTAACGAGCCGAATACAAGCTGTTTGCGAACAACGAGCTATATTAACAGCCGTAGGGCGATGTACTAGTTGCACGTGTATGTATTACTAAAATTCTTTAAGAAAAAATAAAATCTCAGAATACTTTAATTTATAAATTATTTTTAACAGAATATTATTACAGAATGAGGCAAATCATGAGATTACAGAATAATCAAGAAAGCACAACCTACTTTCACCATCAGCAAATAAAAAAACATTGCACCATCTCACACACTAAAAGCAAAGATAAGGCTATGGAGATCCATCCAGAACGTTGTCCAGCTAATGTTGTAAAACACCAAGACTTCTCATTTGTCCCTATTTATTGAACACAACTCACATAACCCATGAGATAAGTATGCAGAAAAGAACATCTGGTTAGTGGGTTAGTACAATCCACCTCCAGTCCCTTCCCCAGTCAACTTTGTTTCAGTGCCTATAGTAGGTCCATCAGTCCTGTACAAGTGATTTGGCTCCCCCGAGCCACTTTGTTCGACTCCGGTGTGTTGCCCACCCAAGCCGGTTTGGTGGCCTACTCCTTGGGCTTCATGTCCGACTCCTGTGTGGTGCCCGGTCAAGCCAGGAGCCAGGCCAGTCTGATGTCCGACTTCTGTGTGGTGCCCACCCAGGCCGGTTTGGTGTCCAACTCCTTGGGCTTCATGTCCGACTCCCGTGTGGTGCCCGGCCAAGCCACTAGCCAAGTCAGTTTGATGTCCGGCACCTGTGTGATGCCCACCCAAGCCGGTTTGGTGCCCAACTCCTTGGGCTTCATGTCCGACTCCTGTGTGGTGCCCGGTCAAGCCAGGAGCCAAGCCAGTCTGATGTCCGACTCCTGTGTGGAGCCCACCCAGGCCGGTTTGGTCCCCAACTCCTTGGGCTTCATGTTCGACTCCTGTGTGGTGCCCGGCCAAGCCACTAGCCAAGTCAGCTTGATGTTGATGTCCGGCACCTGTGTGATGCCCACCCAAGCCGGTTTGGTGCCCAACTCCTTGGGCTTCATGTCCGACTCCTGTGTGGTGCCCGGTCAAGCCAGGAGCCAGGCCAGTCTGATGTCCGACTTCTGTGTGGTCTAGCCAAGCCAGTCTGATGTCCGGCTCCTGTGTGCTGCCCACCCAAGCCGGTTTGGCCTTCATGTCCGACTCCTGTGTGGTGCCCGGCCAAGCCACTAGCCAAGCCAGTTTGATGTCCGACCCCTGTTTGCTGCCCGTCCAAGCCGGTTTGGTGCCCAACTCCTTGGCCTTCATGTCCGACTCCTGTGTGGTACCCGGCCAAGCCACTAGCCAAGCCAGTTTGATGTCCGACTCCTGTGTGGTGTGCTTCCCCCGTTCTTATAGCATTGGCCTTATAAGCCTGTTGCTTCTCAAGCTCAGCTTGATGTATCTTCTCTTCCTTCCTCTGCTCCGCCAATTCCTTTTGGAGTGGATCACTTGTCTTCATTTTCTCCACCTGTAACATCAAAACGTGAGCAGCATCAGATTAAAAAACAATCTTTTCGGAAGAAGACTGACGTGCCAATCTTGTTGACGGTATGTACGTGTTATGTTTAATAGAACTTTGAATTTAGTTTTTATTTTTTCGGTATTTAACTGGATTTAAGTTAAAATTATGGCTAAATTGATGTCGGCTCCGTCCGAGAAGAAACATACCCTACTTGGTTGGCTAATATAGTGACAGTAAGGAAGCCAGATGCCCAAGTAAATAAAGAGCGAATGTTGTGTATGTCGGGTAAATGTGCGGACCGTAGTATTGATGTGATATTGAGATGATATTACACCTCAATATCACCTAAATAACACTAATCCACATCTAATTCGCATGTAACTCATCATCACACAACATTTTATCTTAATAAGATTACTATCAAATACGGAAAAAATATTACATCAAGACTCCTAACGTAATTTGTGTTTGTAGTCTAATGATAGAGTGTCATGTGTCAAGTGGATCTTACTGTAATAAACTGATATTAAAAATAACGAAACCCACTTGACATGCTGATTACCTTAAGAATCCCGATTTATTATCTTCTCTGAAATACGAGTAAAGAATACATAAAGTGGGTAAAGGAGCAACCTTTTCTGCAGCGGCGGCTTTGGTCTTATCCATGCCGGACTTGGCGGTTGCAGAGATGTTCAGTATCTTCTCCTTGGCAGCTTCCATCACGTAACAAATAACAATATTAGCCGAAAACAAGAGCTTGTGCAGTCCAGTTGGGCTTTCTGAGAAGCGCTTGCCACTTTATAGCGCGATCATTAACGCGGAGAGGTGCCACGTTAGGGTACAGATGTCATCAAGCAGCTGCTTTTATTGATGACGTGCCGAGCTGCCAACAAACGCGGTTTTTTAGCCAAACGATTTTGTGTTTTGAACGGATGATGATCATTGGCTGACTGCTTCAATGGAGCTGGTTTGTTTGTGGGGATGGAGATAAGGTTAACGCATTCAATAACTTGCTTATTGTAAATTTTAAATTTTTTTTTTTTTTGAGAGATTTAAAAGCTTTGATCTTGTTTTTCTTGGAAGATCAGAGATGTTGAAGTATTAATGAGTATTTTTTTATGGAGGATAGAATTTAGTTTGGGCTTTGAAAAATTTAATGTTAAAAATGGATGAAAGATGGTGCAAGATTTGTGGCAATGTTTCTGGGGTTATATATGGAATTATTTCATTCAAAGGATAATTACATAAATGTATCGTGAATTTTGATATTTGAATGAGAATTTGAAAAAAAATGAATGAAACAACGTGATAAGTTTATCAATAGTAATTTTGAGTGAGTCATGTAATTGTCTAATCGTGAAAACACATCCAAACAAAGCACAGACTCTGAAGAAAAAATGAAAACAAGCATTTGTGATAAGATAAACTCTGAATAAATAATAGAACATGTTGGTTACCGTTGGTCCATGAAAAAGCAAAATGAGATACACACTTGATCATAAATCTATTCAACAAATGTATAATCTAGTGTTATATGAGAGCATTAACTCCTGATCCTCTCCACAAGATTTTATATGTCAAACGTCTTAAGAACTCTTGCTCATATCTTATTTTTATAGTATATACTCTCCTAAACTCTAAATGGGTTCATAGAGAAAATATAATATAATGACTAAACTTACAAAACAGATATTAGCGTGGGTTATCTCATATAGCATAAAATAAACTGAGTATGAGAGCAAAAGTATACATTAGTTTACTTATCAATTAAGTCGTATCATTTATACCTTGCTTTTTGCAAGAAAGATCAACCAAATGTACTAGTTCGTTAGCACCCACACATGTGGCGCCTAGGCGCTAGAGCCCTGATGGCATAACCCTAGACTGGGTGCCTGGGCACTAGAGACGCGACACTAAGGCACCAGGGTCGTGACACCTAGGCGTTGGTTCATTTCTAGGACGTAAAAAATCTCAATTTTTGGCACACCTCCCTATGCAGCCAGAATTATGGGATTTATTGGCCCATGGGGAAATTTGCATATGGGGGAGATAAAGGAATGATTAAACCCTTTTTGGAGGGATCTTAGGCCACTTTTAGCAAAGGGGGGCAAAACATGAGCTATGGGTTTATCTCTCTTGGTGCTTCTCCTAGACACATTATTCAGGAGAGGAGAGGGTTGCTTCTTCTTCCTTTTGGTGGTGGAAAGCTAGCGAGGACCTTTGGTAAAGGGAAAATTTGGAGAGGAGCTCAAGCAAAGAAGAGAAAACTTCCTCTCCTCCCAAACTCCATCTTCTTTATTTTCTTCAACTTCTTCTTCCTCATCTCCTTCATCTTCCTCCACCACTTTTCTTGAGTGTGCGAGGAGATCTTCTTGAGAAAAAGCTTGGATAGCAAGGGAGAAAAGTGCCTACTCTTAGCTTCATCGTAACTTCATTAAAGGAATGCTTCATCTTAGCTTCGCGGTAACTTCATTAGAATCTCAACGAACTCTCCTTCTCAATGAGAACTTCTTCGTTCTTTGGAGGAGTGGAGCGGACCTCGCTGGAGCTTTGTTAAAACGTCTCCATTTCTCCTACCACCAGGAGAACTTCATTCTACGTACAGAAACACAACATCAAACGCTACGCCGGTGAGATTCTATAAAATCCCTTGTGCATTCCTCTCTTAGCTAGCCTTACGACTAGATTTGACAAGGTGTTGTGGGTTCAATTGCCCACATGTGGCTAGCTAGTCAATTGACACTAGTCGGAACGGCCAAATGTTTTTGGATTGATCGTTTATTTTCTAAAGGAATCCTTAGTTTAGGAAGCTTTTATTAGATATATTCCTAGTCAATCCAAAAGATTCCCCTATAAACCATTAAAAAGACACCTAAGCATGTCAGAATCTCAATTTCCTCTTGCTTTAGTATTTCCAAACCTCATTAAAGGGTTTGGGACATTTAGATTTTGTGAAGTGAGAAACACTTTGTACCTAGCTTACTTTACAAAATCATGAGAAGTTGTGGAATGGGAAAAGTTTTGTAGTCAATCCATTCAACAACATTGTGAAGAATTTTCTTTTGAAAATTATAAGTTGAAGCTCCCCACACTCTTCGCCAAAGCAGGAGATGGTTATGTCGCATATCGATGTGCTAAACCTTAGGTTCTCATGTGAGATCGTTAAATGAGTGTGTCAATCGATTGTGAATATTTGCATTGCATAATGTATTGTGTCAACATATGTGTCTTGCATAAAGTTTGTTGCACTAGCAGATTGTTGCGACTTGCCGCCCCTACCCAATTGCCATGACACATTTCCTCAACCGACAAACTCGACTCTAGAGTGGCGCACCGATCATTTTGGCTCCACCGGCCGCCCCGACCCTGTCGTCTAAACACTTAAGTCCAACCGACCGGTTTGACCTGGTCGATCGATTACTTTGGTCCGACCTACTGCCTCGATCCGGTCGATCAATCAAGTTGGTCCAGTCGGCCGCCTTAGCACGACTGAGCTCATTGATTACATTGTCTCGAGTTGACCTCCCCATCGATCCAACAGGTCAAACAACCAATTTCACCTGCATAGCATTTGTTTGCATGACTATGCAATAGCACATTCATCACTTGCACTCTTATCTTGCATTTTTTAGCATATAACCTCATATGCTCGCGATGAGTACTTGTGCCTCCCAATGACACATTACACTACATTTGCTTCATAACATCCTCATGTCACTTTGCACCACATCACAGGTGGTTCGCTCTGGACTTCACATCATTTTGTGTTTGCTTGCATAGCACTTTACATGCTTCATGACATGCATTTAGATGTGCTGCACTTGGAATTATGTTACACACTTTTCCCTCGCATTCACATATCATGTGAATAGGCGACTCGTCACTGAGCACATCCGTTGTGAAATTCTCTCCAATGAGAGTAACATCCCTACACTTCCTACGACACTGCTCTGGACCGTCATAAACACCTTTTGAGTCGCTGCCTCCACGACATATCCTTTTCTTTGGGTCGCTGACTCCATAACACGCTCACCCATGTGGACAACAACCTCCACGATACACCCATTTCCTTTGGGTTGTTGCCTTCATAACACACTCATTTCTTCGGGTCATTGACTCCACAACACTCCACCCTTAAGGGTCACTTCCTTCACGTCAAATTCATTCTTCGGGTTGCTGCCTCCATGAGACACCCATTCTTGTGATCATTGCCTTCACGACACGCCCAACCCTCTGAGTCACAACTTTCACGATACACTCATCCTTCGGGCCACTGCTCCACGGTATGCCCACTCTTTCGAGTCTCTGCCTCCAAGACACGACCACCCTTCTAGGTCGTTGTCTCCATGTCAACACCATCCTTTTAGGACGCTGCCTCCATGACGCGCCTACCCATTCGAGTCACTGCCTCTAGGGCACACTCACTTATTTGGGTCGTTGCCGCCACGACACGCTCACTCTTGAGTCACTGCCTCTACAACACACTCCTCGCCACCTTTGTTATATGACTATTTGTATTTTCATTTGTATGTGTGCATGGATAGCAAGCCAAGCTCGATAGACGGTTGACCCATGTTGGTTGAGATGTCTTAAAGAGCATTATTTGTTGGGTTGATCGCGACGAGCAATGAGAGTTAAAGCATCAGTATTTACACGAGTTTGACTATGTTAAAAATTCAAGAGATTTAACTTGTGTCACATTGCATGTTATAAGTCTATCTTTAATGACCCTTATTTTAAAACTAAAAAATATAGATTTTCTACTTTTTACATCCATCACAATTTTAAAAATTATGCACATAGCAAGCTAGGTCATATGTAAGCCTAACCTTTTTCAAAAAATTCATCATGAGTGACACACTTTAGTCCCTTGGATCTTTAGGATGAAACTGGTGTCAAAGTCATATGTGCCCAGAGACTTTACCCTGACAGGGTGTAAATCCTTTCATTGGGAGTGTTTCCAGTTTTATAGTTGAACCATCCTTTCTTCTGCTTTCCAACAACATCTATCATTTCGGCGGGCATAAGTCCCACCTCTTGGAGTTCCACTTAATAGTCATAGGATAAAGTTTCGATCTTTTGATCTTAGGGCTATCTAATTCCTTGTGGATGACACAATTTATGGATTGCTAACCAGGGATCTTTCGCCTTGTTGGGTCAACGACCTTCATGACCAGGTAGAGTGAGGGTCCTAGTGCTTGGGATAACAGATCGGTCGTAGTCTGACCCGACTAGCTCTACTTTGTAGGGATTACTCCTCTCTTCCTTTGACTACCCAGTTGCATTTTGTCGCTCCTTTCGGCTTCGTTGGTATAATTCTGACAACCTGATTCCTAATGAGCCGTTTAGGTTACGACAATTTGTCATCTGCCCATATGATTCGAATGTGCTTTGAAGTATCGAGATTCTCTGTCAGGATGATTTAACTATTATGCATGTTTCACTTGTCGATGAGGCCATTACCCATGTGGAACCACGAGAGACTCACTCTCCACCTCGTGGTTTAGCAGATTACTGTCTGTCAGGTGTGTGGACTCTCCATGGTCCAGTGGGACCCTCGGTGGAGCCGATCCGTGACGAGGGCGTCACGTGATTGGGTGGAGGAGAATGTCACGGACAAATAGTCCCACATCAGCTAGGTGTAGGGCCGAAAAGCAGTATTTAAGTCCTGGGCTGCCCACCACCCATAAGGGCTCTTTTGGGAGGTGACAAGTGGTATCAGAGCAAATTACTGCCTGCCAGGTGTGTGGACTCTCCATGGTCCAGTGGGACCCTCGGTGGAGCCGATCCGTGACGAGGGCGTCACGTGATTGGGTGGAGGAGAATGTCACGGACAAATAGTCCCACATCAGCTAGGTGTAGGGCCGAAAAGCAGTATTTAAGTCCTGGGCTGCCCACCACCCACAAGGGCTCTTTTGGGAGGTGACAGGGGGCTCTGAAAAAATTAAAGTATTCATATGTGACATAACTATCCTTTGATAGTCCTGCACCAGTTATCACTTTAAATGTAAGCAAAACTCATTTGATTTAGAGTATTTTTGGGCAACCATCATAATGTAATTCATTGCGTTGCGATATAGATATACACCAGTTGATGTAGTATATATATAAAGCAAATAGGAGAACGACCGACGAAGTGAAAAATAGAACTAGAAAAATCACACCAGAAAAGAACACAGATTTACGTGGTTCGGCAAATTGCCTACATCCACGGAATTGCAAAGGATTTCATTACTTGAGGAATTTACGCTACTTGAGGTGAGGAATTTACACCAGTCGATCGCCTCGACTTACAAGAGGAATCTCTCACTCTCACTTCGTTGCTCTCTCTTCTTCTCTGTCTTTTCTTCTCTCTTTACACCGAGATACACCGAAGAAGATAAACTTACAAAAGAAATAAATTCAATTTCTCTTCAGCTACAAACCACCAAGAAGAAGCTAAGGGAGAACAATCTTCTTCTTTCTTCTTCCTTCACCGTAAGGAACTACCTCTTGCACTTTCCTTTCTTCTATCCTCATGAAGCTTGAAGAAGACACCGTGTGACTTCTTAAACTACAAGGAAAGCCGTATGAAGTCTTTTTATCGCAAACAGGAGGGGAGGAAGGGAGACGTCGGGACTATTCGCAAAACGAGAGCGGGAACGGGAAGCGGGAGCGGGATCTGAAAAATGGGGCTCCAACGCTGACATAATTAACCAAGTGAGATACGTCCAATTGGTAGGGTTCTTGTCCCTAAAACAGACAAAAACTCCTGAATTACTGGTTGTGGGTAGTTTCATAGGTATTCTTTCGTGGATATTTAACACAAGTTATTTCGATCTAATCTTATTTGGACGTAATGCTAGACCAATTCTTGCGAATTTTGTTGCATAGAGGTTCTCCGCGTTCTTTCTCTTGTTTGTCTGCATTTGTGTGTCTGTATTTTTCATTTTTTTCTCTTCTTCCGATATCATTTACATGATCTGAAACATAGATTTTCTTCGAAAAAGTAAAGTATACAATAATTGACAAACTGACGACTCCTCTAAAAATAAAAAAAAATAAATAAATAAGAAATGAAAACAAAGTAGGTGACTTCACCATGCTAAATCTACTTCCAAACAGCCCTAAGCTTTGGTTAAATTATTATTAGCCCATGCAACCTTTAAGACTTACTAATTTATTCAATTCTAGTTTAGAAAGAAAAACAATGTAAGAATTTAAACTAATTATTCTTCTAAAAATTGGTGAGACCGCACGGCAAAGTATTTCTGAACTGCAAAATTTAAAATCTTATTTAATTCTAATACTGATATATTTTAAATCATTTTATGCAACAAAATTTAAATGCAAGCATCTGCATTAGGGCTATGAATTTAGCTCGAAGATCGTTAATTGCTCGAAATTTCATCTGAATTTTGGCTCAAATGAGCTGAAAGTTTGGATTAAGTATTTGAATCGTAGTATTTTTTTTTTATTTAAAAAAAAATTATATAAATTATGATAAGTAAGGTTGTCAAAATGACTTGTTATTCTGGAATAGTTTGTGTTCTATTTATTAAGAAGCTCATGTTAGATTTATTCGCTATATAAATGAGCCAAACACGAATAACTAATCGAACACGAACATAAATTTGTTCATTCATGTTCGGCTCATTTTGACTTAGATATATTTAATTATATTTAAATGATACTTTAATATAAATAAAAAAATTTAAATCGGGCAAGAATTGTTAAAACGGTTACCTGTTCTCCGACAACTGTATTCAACTCATTAAGCAAATGAGTCCAACATAATTTTTTTTTTTTTTTTGAAATATAAACCATCTGAATATGAACACTGTTATTTTTAATGAGCCGAACGAGTTGCACTTGTGCTCGGTTCGTTTACACCCTAATAATAAGAAAAATTAAATATAATCAGTTATGAGTTATTGAGTGTAATGAGACATGAGTTAAGTCAATTATTTTCAATTTTGAGTTGGATCGAGCCGATTCCTAGCTAAAACAGATCCAATTATTTTAAATTAAGCCAAGTTTCGAACCAAATTGAACTTGATTCAAAATCAAATATAACTATTTTGAGCCGCATAAAATCTATTCAAGCCGATTTCAAGCCGACCCCAACTCAACTTGAAATCAGATCATTATCAGCCCTAATCTACATTCACTATAACCTTTTAAATTAATAAGTAAAGTGAATGAATCACATAAAAAGTCTAGAAAATAGCAAACATATCATAACAAAATATTATTAAATCACCAATACATTCTAATCAAGAAAAGAAAACTCTCTCTCACACACACACACACACACGCACACACACACACACAACAAATAAAGACAATGCATGCCCACGTGAAACAAAAACACACAAGAATGGCACATAGCAAAAGCCCACAAGCTATAACCAGCAAGGCTTATTATACTCCATATTTATTGCACGACTCATGTTCATAAAACCATCCACCTGATCACAACACTCCTCCACCAGTAGTGTGCCCAGTTGGATCACCCAAACCGGTTTGATGCTCAACACCGGTCTGATGCCCGACTAAGCCCTCTGGATGACCGACCCCGATGTGGTGTCCACCCAAGCCTGTTTCGTGGCCAACTCCCGTGTGGTGTCCTCCCAAGCCAGTTTCGTCGCCGACTCCGGCGTGGTGTCCACCCAAGCCGGTTGCGTGTCCGACGCCTGTGTGGTGTGCTTCACCCTTTTTAATAGCATTCTCCTTGTATGCTTGCTGCTTATCCAGCTCTGCTTGACTGATCTTCTCATGCTTCCTTTCCTCTGCTGCTTCCTTCTGTAGTGGATCCCTTGTCTTCAGTTTCTCTGCCTGCATTCATACAAAGTAGATACACTGATAAACACAATTCATAACAAGATATTCTAAGTAAATTTAAAATGTGGATCAAGTATAACCAATTCTTCAACATACATAAATCGAGTTGGAAGAGGGATTTAAGGATTTGAAGAAGCTAAAGGTTGGTCGAAGATATATCCTATTAAAGTTGTCAAACAGCTTCTCCGAATTTATAAGTACTTGCTAATTAACATGCCAAACAGATTCGAAGTTTTTGCCGCTTCAAAATTTTATGAATCAAGATTCACAGGATATATTAAACTCTATTTAAACTAAATTCTACTTGCAAGTAAACATCCATAAAAGATAACTAAGTAGGAGGTTCTAAGACGCTCCTGACACAAGATAAAAAAAGACATTCGTAAATCCTACACTTGTCCTTAAATCCTGTATTTCCTCCATTTGTGCTTAAATCTGAAATTTGGTAAATCCCAGTTTACAAAGCGTGAGAGAAGATAAATCCCATTAAAGTTGTCAAACACTTTCTCCCTGATTATTAACATTTATTTATTAACATACCAAACAGTTTGAGAGATCTAACCCCTTCAAGGATTCACAAGGCAATGTTTTAAGGCATAATTTAAAAAAGAATTTAACCGTAGATTTAACATAAATCCATTCAAACATTATAAAAAAATAAAATAACCATCAAAATTTTCACGTTACATGTTTTATTTCTCAATCTCATCTCTTTTAAGGCGAAAATCCAGATTTAAGGCCCATTTGGGACAGCTTATAAGTGAGGTAGCACTTTTTATAACGCCGTATTACTGTTTGAATTGCTCATTTTGTTTGCTTATCCAAAAACAGTTCCATTTTTACACTAAATGCGGCTCGCGTGTCGAATCTAGCAGACCGCATTTCAGGATAAGTTGTTTATCCTGAAACACACAAATTGCCCCAAACGCTCCCTTAGTATACCAGATTTTGAGATAGATTTAAGAATTTTTTTCTCTGGCTCGCTAAATATTTTTTAAGCTAAATATTACTTGCAACCAAACATCCCCTAAAAGAATCAAGATTCCAATCTACAACAGCTATTAATCAATTTAGATTAGAAAATGAATTAGAATTAGAAAGCTTGAAATAATGACAAAAACGCAACCTTTTCTGCAGCAACAGCCTTGGACTTATCCATGCCTGCTGTGGCCGACGCAGCGACGTTCGAGATCTTCTCCTTGGCAGCTTCCATCGCGAACAAATCCTCTCAGCTTTCTTCCTCAACAGCAAAATCAAACGAGTTGGGGATTTGAGAAAAGCAGCGGTCATTATATAGCTTCATGATTGCTGCGGAGAGTCGCCACGATATGGTGCAGATGTCATCAAGTTGATGCGTTTGTTTATGACGTGTCGAGCTGCCGAGAACGCGCTTTTCAAGCCACACGATTTGGAGTTCTGGACGGCTGATTGTGTGCTTGATTATACATCTTGCTTTCAACAAAGCCGGTTTGGGTGTTTGGATGGGGATATGGATAAGGTATGAATTTATCTTCTTATGAAAAAATTTAAGGGGCAAATATGTAAAAAAAATTACGTGTCGATATGATAGATGCGAATTGATGATATTGAGGTGGTATTCACGACAATACTATCCCAATACGATTGATCTGTACATGCAGATGTCACCACAATACGGTCCAAATTACATTAATCCCCATCTTTAATCTATTTTTCAAATTCTCACCCAAATGTTAAATTTCTCAATGAAACGGAATACCATGATATTCATATTTATCAATTTTTCATTAGTTTGATTGTGGCACATGTAAATATATTTGTTTATCTGGATTTTGAAAATTATATATATGTTTCATTGTATGTAGAAAAGTATGTTTCCTTATATGTGTGTGTGTGTGTTTATATATATATATATATATATATTATATATATATATATATATATGCAAAATGTCACTTCCTAGATCTATATAATGAAACATATGTGCAAAATGTTGAACTAATCAACACAAACAATGACAAGTTGGTATGGATCAGGGGATCATTATTCTCCTTGAGTCCAATAGCTTTAGCATTCTCTAGTTACTTCCTAGATCTATTTGCTTGCTCTTCATGTATTTTGCTATGGTCGATCTTAGTCACCTAACACAAACATCCCGGGGAAGGATCTACTTCTTGGCATGTTCAAAAACAAGGTGAAAATGGACGTAAGGCGATAGAGAAGTGGAGGAGGGCGAACTTGTCTAGGATGACTCCAACAAATAATGCGTTATGGTAGTGGTACATGGGGTGAAGCCCCTAGTTGGTTGATCCAACTTGGGGCCGCTCTTGATCACAGATAATCGTTCTGGCTTTTTTTTAGTTGACTATGAGTTAGTGGGTACGAGAGAGAGGATTCTTAAATTTCTTGCTCAATTCAAGCCAACTGATATATTAAAAACTTATTTATATATTTATGTTATACTATATTATTTTTTTGTTTTTACTTTCATATCTTGGTTGTATAGCAATTTATTCTTAGTGAACATTGTTGTAATTACCCCTGGTTTTACAGGTCAAGCCAAGACCAATCGCTTGAGTAGGCATACTGAATTATTGCTTTAGAGGCTTATTCCGTCAGATCAACTTTTGACCAACATTTTTTGGGACACCTACATTGGTTCTTTATTTCTTCCTTGAATTAATGTAATTGCTTGTATTCAAACCCTTTATACTTGATGTGTTTCATTTGAAATAAAGTGCCACTTTGTCACTTTGATTCATATGTTAATATGATTATCTTTTTGATATCCTGTATTTTACCTATTTACCCCTTCTTTGGCGATTACATCTTCTTCATCACCAATATAAGAGTTTGTGACATGGTGATTTTATTCTATTCCTCATTTTCTCCCATATTCTCACTTTTTCTTCAATGTTTGCATCCTCTTGAGCCAATCCCATGTAATTTGTCACAACCAATTTGTTGGGGTCATTAAAGATGACTCACGAGCAAGTGGAGCAATTAAGACAAGTGTGTCTCTTTGATTCTTCTATTCTATCTTGGGTGGCCAAGAAGCACAAGAAGGCGAACACTTTCCATGACAACGAGCTACTGTTCTACCAAGACTAGTTCAAACTCAGTTTGTTGTTGCCTCTTTGCAATGAGCTAATGGACTTGTTTAAGTTCTACAGTGTCATCGCAGCTCAAGTGATGTTGAACTCTATTGTGATCATTATGATTTGAGTGATGTTCATGAGATGAATGAAGATCCCTTGGTCCATAGCACTCTTCAGATTCCTGTTCACCATTCAACCTTACCTAAAAAGATTCATTTAATTTCTTGGGAGCAAAGTCCATTTTCAAGATCTAAAATAAGGTAAAAAATTAGAAGCATAAATTTTGCTTTGCTTCTATGAAGAAAGGATGGCTAATTGGGATGAAACTTATCCACATCCCTAATACAAAAGCCAAGCTGACACCACTGCATGCAGTTCTCAAAAGTTCCTTCGAGGCATTATGTTAGAAGCTTGATGTACTCATGTACTTCACGGTTCTCCTCCATGGTTGGGTGTTCGCTCCATGCTTGTGTGGAGTCATGATCAAGGAGTACTGAAAGTTCAAAGATATCGATAATGATGAGGAAGAGGAGGCCTTGGAAAGAGAAGGCCGACAGGGAGTCATGTCATCATTTTGATAGGTATAAATCAATGTATTTAGTCAACTTCCCTTATATTATAGTTTTCAGAAGAAAGAGATTGATGAGTTAATCCTCATTAAAAGGAGAAGTTTTCTCGGGAAGGTGAAGGGATGAAATAATCTCTTATCTTCTACAGAATCTCTGTCTTCATATGAAGAGGAAATAATTGATGGAGCGATGGACGTTTTGCAGGAGTCAGGAAAATCAAAGGAAGAGGTGGGGGCTCCTCAGCTAGCCCCTTGACTATGGCACGAATTAGCTCTTGAGCTTGGGGCAATCGATAATTGAAGGTGATAAGCATAGGCTTCTAGGTGAAGAAGAAGCAATTTATGAGGTCAAGCAAGGACAGCCTTTGGTTGATTTAGATACCCCAAAGTGGGCTCATCATGAGGCATAACATAGAATTAAAGGAGGTGGCTCCTCAAGGAGATGCTGGTTCTAAAATGAAGCAGGGTTCCATTTATCACTCAAAGGATGCAGCTGAATTGGATCCCTCCCAAGAAGGAGATTGGGTGATAAAGCCGAGTCAAGATGGTCGGTATGCTCTCATTGACCAATCAACAGATTAGATCACATCAGCGTCTTATGTGACTCAATTTGGTTCACTTCTCGCTTGAGTATTGTCATCTATTCTCCTTTGGTGGCCAAATTGCTTCATTAGCATGTACAAGCATAACTTTATGTTGGAGGTTGCCCACCAAAAGATACAATGTTAGGCCAATAACACCTTAGTTTTTTCACATCAAATATCATTAAATGTCCATTAAAACCCTAAAAAACTGAAATGTTAGTAGACATATAATTATGAAATGCAAGAACCTAGTTGCTATTCTTTGCTTTGCATGATGTTTGGAAAGCAACACAAGTTTTTTAAAGTTAGAAAAGGACCACAAAAATCCTATTATTTACAAAAAAAGCCAGCTCCACCTACTTGTGAAACCAAGGGCCTAACAAAGCATAGAAGAGATTTTCACAAAAATTCTTGCTTGATGGCTCTCCATAAAACCTCAAAAATGTCATTCCTCCTTAATCAAGAGTACAATGAAACAAACAAGTGTCAACCCCATCTCATTGGATCATATCTAATACCTAAACTTTGCTTTTTAATATTTATACCACCCAAATTTTCACATCACAGTAAAAATGTCATTATCATATCTAATACAAGTGTTAAGGTGGTATGCATTTAAAAATTAAAGTTCATATGTTAGATATGTAAATAAGAATTGAGTGGCATGTATTTATACCTTCCTTTAAGATATTATACATATCTTTTACACATTGCTTATGTTTATATAATGGCCCCTTCATTCTAGTTTATTAAGCAACATTTTTTTAAGTTATGTCAACATATTTATAGTAAGAGAATAAAGCTAGTTAATGGCTTCAACAATAAGATGTACATCATCCCTTCACTTAATCATTCACAATAAGTTAGCAATTACACTTTGCTCCATAGATGGAACCAATAATAACTAACAAAATAACATATTCGCATCTACAGACAAAGGTGTTGGTACACAGAGTTTCCCATGCTAGAAAATTGTCATACATTTTCACCTAGTTTTGAGCCTTTTCAAAGAAATGTTCAATATGAAATTGACACTTTGACTTAGTTTCCCATTTTTGCCTCTTTGCGCCGACCGTCAGCATCGAGTCCCCCTAAAATTTATGATGCAGGTGTAAAAATGAAGCTTGAAACTCTTAAACAAAAGTAGGTAATGATCAACTGTAAATTAAAGAGATAATTACATATGTATCACCCCAAACATTGATATTTATAAATTAAAAACACAGGTGAGGTTTTCAAACTACCGAACCAATTTATTTACGCATGCCACGATCAAATTATTGAGAATATGGGTTGTGGATTTACCATGAATTTTGATATTTGGGTGAGTTTGAAAAATGGATAAAAAGGACGGTTGATTCATAAATAACAAGTTTCGGGCGGGTCTGTATGTAATTGCTCCTAAATTAAAACATACCAAGCATTCATCTCGAGTTTTCAACACTTTGATCCTTCCACCTCTCCCATCAGCACCAACAACAATCAAGTCCCCACTTGATGATATTGGCTGAGCATGCTTGCGCCATCTGCTCATGCTCCTGTATGCTTTTTCAGATACATGAGAACCAGGAAAACTTGGATTGCCTGGAAATATATTAACAAAGGTAGATACTAAAATAATTACTAGATAATTCAAATCAAATTAAGTGAAAAGAGACTGATATGATTTAAGGAGGAAAAAACAAATAAAAAATTTTGAAAAATTCCAATAGTTTCAGAAAAATAATTTCTTCAAGGGAATAAAATTAACATAACATGTGGTATGCTTTAGACTAATTCAAAAAAAAAAGAGATAAATTCACATGATGCAAATTTATTAGGGTGATATTTGCAATAGTTTTTTTAATTAAATGGTTAAGTATAAAAGATTACAAATTATAGGAGACAATAGTGCACTGGCACAAAAATTTAAGAATAAAGGAATAATTAAAATTAAAAATTATGAAAGAATAAAATTTTGATTTTGACTCATAATGCACATAATTGGAGAAACATAATCGTTTACATGTACTTAAAATTTTCTTACCAATGAAGTTATCCATATTATATTCACAAATTACTTTCTAAAGTCAAAACATTTAAAATTGGTTCAATGATTTTCAAATTCAAACCAAGTTTGTACCCAAATTCAAACACCGATTCAAACCACGATTTAAATCTTATTTGAATCCCAATTCCAATCAATGTTTGAATATGAGTTGAGCCTCTTAAGAAGCATGGTTGCCTTCATTCTAACCCTAGATAAAAATGATAAACCTCACTTATACTTTGAACGCCATTAACTCTATTTGAAACACAATCACCCAAGCTAAATCCAAATCCACCATCAACAATGGCTACTTCACTCAAAGGCAAATTCTTCTCCAAAGGATTCTATCTCACTTGTGCCTCATCCGTTGTTGCCTCTCACTCTTATCTCCACAATCTCCCTCTTCCACCAGCTCATCATCAATCTCCTCTCCCTTCTAATCACAACTACCTTGTCATCACTAGCCACACCATTACTAACTATTTCATGATCATAATAAGACATATGATCATGTAGAGTGAGGAGATATTGAAGCACACACGCAATTGAACTCTTTTCCCAACAAACTCCTCTCATTAATCCCACTTTCCTTCACTCAGAACCAAATGCCTTCCCCAATGAGCACCCACATAAAGAAGCGTGCAACGTTCCAAACCGAAGTTTGGATACAATTCAAACTGGGTTCATATCTGATTTGAATCATGCTCAAATTTGGGTTGACAATTGAGTCAGACATATATTCATATGCCAGGTTCAAATTCCAGCATATTTAAATCAATTCCAGACGTTTCTACTTCACATAAATAAATAATATATATATAGATAGATAGACAGACAGATATATAAATATATAGATATATAGTTGAATCAAAATTACAATATTCTATCAACACAGATTATTTGTTTCTGGACATAGTTTGTCACATGGAGAAAGTAATCCAAAGGATGACAGCGCCTCCCTTATGAGTTATGGCAGAAAGCATTCCTCAAACATACAAAAAATAGGAATATATATTGTTCTACTTCAAGCAACTGCTTTACTGGGACCTCGTTGGGATTAATTTTATTTGGACAATTTGGTTTTTAAAGACCGTTATTCTGTGCATTTTTTATACAAACAAAAAAAAATTTAAATACTAAACAATTTTTAGTATTTTAAATACTTTTATTAGCAATCATATTTTATTTTTGCATATTGAACATAATTATTTCAAACAAAATCAAAACAAAAAACAAAAAATAATCCCAAACAGCCCTGAAGTTTGTAAAACTTAACATCTACCATTTAATATAAACAATCTATGAGCTCAGCTGAAAAGCTAAGCTCATGATTATGAATAAGTCATTTTAGAGGAATTGATGAAGGAATTTTTTAAGTTTATAAGTTTTCAAAATATCGTTAGAATTCTCTGGATATATCTCCAAGAAAGCATAAACGAGGTGAGCAACTCACCTGAGCAAGCAGAGGTAATGCAAGTCTGAGCTTCATTTTTGGCTGCATAGCAAGGCACACCTTTCTGTATCCCACTCATAAGAATTTTCTCTGTAGAATCGTCCTCTCCATCTTTTGAATCATTCCCAACCATTGTATAAGCAGGAGCATTCAGCATAGAATAAAATCCTACTCCTGAGATAGGTGGTGCATTTGGGTCACCTCGTCCGTCCTCACGCTTGACTACAAGATTTGGATAATCATTTGAGTCTGAAATCAGATTCAGATTATCCACATCTATACAGTTACAAGAATCCATATTCCAATCAACTGCACATTTATTTTCCTCATAAACTGGAGGAGACGATATTTTTTGAGGATTAGTCCTTTCGGATCTACAAATTTGATTCCGATTTGAATTTTCCATTGCATACTGCTTCACAGCTTGATCCTCAATTGTAGGACAGCTCACATTTTGCTCTATCCAACTCAAATTGACTTGCTTAGGTTTTAATTTGGTAGAAGCCTTCAAATGCCTGAGAATTTCATTTTCCTTTTCTTCAAGTGCCTTCTCCACTTCTTGCAATCTTATCTGAAATGTTTACATACATAAATCATCCGCACAAGCGCTATGTAAATATTATGTATAGAAGTGAAAAATGGAGACGCAATACATACTTTCAATTTATCTATTTTTTCGTTAGCTTTCTCAAGCTTCTTACTAGTGCGAGTTTCAGATCTCCCAAGAATGTTGCATTGGATCATCAGATCCCTATAACTCCTGCAACATCCAAAAGTAAATAAACATGAAGGATTCGGGTGTCTCCGACTTCAAATTATTTTTTAAGTTTTTAAGCAAAGGCTGAAAAGGACTTCTCAATCAATGTGAATTGCATCACCTAGATCAATTAGCGCATTAAAAAATGAAAGAGAATGCATGCAAAAGGTATAAGGAAAAAGGGAAGGATCAAGTAAATAAATTTCGAGATTCATGGAGAACTGCTTTCAAAGTGTTTTTTAGTTTTCAAGCAAATGCCAAAAATTACCGGCAGCTAATGAATAAGGTGAAGAAAGTGACAAAAATGACCAGAACAGTAAGGATCAATTTCAACAATATCTTTTTAAACATGTGATATCCCCAAAATATCACGGCTGACTAGTCGAATTCAGCTTACATTTAGGCATAACCCCATAATTTAAGCAAAGAACCTGCGGCCTGGCCGTGCCAGGGCTTCTTGGGTGAAACCAAATGGCATCCCCCGCCAGCCCTCCTAATCTCAGTTGATGGATCACCTCAGTGATGCTATCGCTCATGACAGTATAACTAGACGCTTTCCCAAAGATTGAAAAAATGTGATCTTATCATGGCCACAAAATGAAACATCGAACTTTTATGATGCGGAGATTCAAAACACTAAAAACAAATGTAACTACTGGTTGATTTATATTTTGTAAATGTTCATTTCCTTAAAATATCCATATTTATTCAACAATTAGAACAAGTGACACATTCATACTGCTAGCTAGGTTGCATCAGAAAGAATGAGCCAACCCGACTAATCTATTTAAGGCTCAAACAAATCATTCCCTAGCTCAAGCAAGAGCAATATTGTGTTAAGAAGGAATGCTCTTTAAATCAAATTGATGTAGATCTTTAACAGTGGAATTTGATTTTATTGAGAGGTGAATTGAAGTTAGAGATGGCATGAAGAGAAGATTCATTGGTGAATCAGGTTTGAAGGCGTGAGTGTTATATGACCAGACAGAGATGTTAAATTGCTAGCTGCGATTAATAGAAAATGTATTGTGGAAGGGATTGTGTGTGAGTAGGAAAGCAAACTTCCTGAAATAAAGGATTAATAAAGGACCAATAAATAACAACCCTGAAATAAAAGCATGTTAGGCCGGCACCTACAGATTCGTCCGCCTAGTTCCACTAAGTCGACACCAAGACCATCCAAATAGTTTGAAGACTTATGTTAGAAGCAAGACTAAAAGTGCAATTTAGTCATTTGTTAGTTATTATTGTGGGGTATAAATAGGGGTTAATATGTTAAGGCTATGCATATGTGCGCTTATTGTCTTGCAATTGGGAGAGATCGCTTACCTCTCAAATGAAGATGTTTATCTTTTATGTATTTGGGTTATGTTGTTTTGCACTAGTAAAGTAAAATATTTTATTTTTCCTAATCTCAGATGCTCATCTCCTTTCTATCAAATTGGTCTAAATTGCCTCGTGCTCCACTAAGTTGACGCCATACCCGCTAAAATACTTTGAAGAAGTTAGGCACAAGACTAAAAGAATAATTTAGTCATTTATTAGTTATTATTGTGGGGTATAAATAGACTTAATATGCTTAGGGCTATGCATGTGTGATTGTTGTCTTGCATCTTAGGGTTATGGTCTAAAAGAGATCGCCTACCTCTCAAATTATATGTGTTTATCTTTTATGAATTTGGGTAATATTGTTTTGTGCTGGTGAAGTAAAATATTTTATTTTCCCTAAGCTTTGTGAAAGCTCATCTCCTTCCTATCAAATTGGTCTAAATTGCTTCATGCTCCATTAAGGTGACACAGAGCCCGAAATAATTTGAAGACTTAGGCATAAAGACTAAAAAAACCACTAAGCCTTTTTTTTTTTCAAATTTTTTTAGCAACTTAGTCATTTGTTAGTTATTATTTTGGGGTATAAATAGAGCTTAATAAGTTCAGGGTTATGTATATGTGCAACTGTTGGCTTGAATCTTAGGGTTAGGATTTGGGAGATGTCACCTACCTTTTAAATTGTAGGTGTTTATCTTTTATGTATTCGGGTTGTGTTATTTTGTGTAGATGAAGTGAAATATTTTGTTTATCATAATCTCTGTGGAAGCTTGTCTCCTTCCTATTAGTACACTGCAAAGAAACTTGCAAGCTGAAGCCTTCTAATTCTAATCCCACTTCGCCTAAAATTCTCAGACAACATTCCAGCATATTGTAAACCAAAGTAAAGTCATTTAAAATGATATTTATGCAAACCTTCTTTGCAACCAACTCAAGGGATGATTTTTACAGGACCTCTGCTAAATATTTATGATGAGGTTAGAAACATAAACCTTCGTCACAGATTATTCTCTTAAATTAAATAAACCTATTACTGATTTGTCCAACAATTTGTTCCTCAAATATATACATGTGTAAGTTTGCTTGTCGCCCTAGTCCCTTAATGATCATAAAGTTTAGATAACAGAAAGAGTATGACTGTGGCAGACAAAGCTTTCCTCTCAAACTGTGCCTGCCCCTGCTTTAGGAAATTGAGGTCCAAGAGTTCATCTAAAAAAAAAAAACTTAATACAAAATAAAAAAGATACATTATAGATGGTAAAGCTAGATATGCACGGGAGATAATTTTGATAGAAGGATGAAGCATTCTTTAGTGAGCAATTCTCATGCTTAATTCAGAGTCAAATTTATGGGGTAAGATGACTTGGGAATCAACTTCTAAACTGTTGAACAGCTAAACAAGCTCTAGATTTTTAATTCAAGAGAATGTAGTACATTTGAGATGCTATAACTAGAACTACAAAAAAGAGAAAGCCCAGGTTTAATGGCAGTGGACACTTTTGTATCAGATATAAAGTTCAAAAATATTAATTTGAAATTATAGGAAATAGTGGTTCTTGTGCTTCATACGGCCACAGAAAGAATTATCTTGAAAGTTAAACTGAATTGGTACCAAAGAGCGTTGTTCATGATAGTGAAGTGAATGACTCAAACTTCCAAAACATTAGTTTACAAAAAGATTAAATGACATGAATCATATATTACCTCACGTACTTGACAGAAAATTAAAATCAGTTTGACTACAGTTGGCAAACATAAAACTCCCAATCTAGGAAAAAAGACAACTGAAAAATAAATGTCTTTAAAAGCGCGCTTCGAAGTGCGCTTCACAAGCAGAGCCAAGCAAAGCACGTGGCAACAGCTACGCTTTGCTGATGTACCCTTCAAAGCATTGAAGTTAATTTACTTTTTTTTTTTTTTGCAATTTTTTAGATTTTAATTATTGCAGTAAACTATTAAAAAATATTTGAAATTTTAGTTTATAGGTTCACCCTTAATGCATGCCTTCAAATTAAATATTGTACCATAATCTTTTTTAAGTAATATTTTATATTTTATAATTGTTGGTGAATTTATTTATACATTAATAGTTTTATATAATCTACCAGCATTACACAAGCGCCGCTTTGCTCTGCGATTTGCGCTGAGGTTCGACACCTCTACAGCAGCCTGACACTTCTCTGACCTTCACAGCAGTCGTTTGCCTTGCACCACCACCCTGGAGTTCCTCCTCGTCAGGATTGTTTGTGTCTTGTTGTTGTATCATTTGTTTGCAAACATTGCAGCACTTTTCGCTTTGTATAGTTCTTTTCCTTTGTTTTGAGTCTCCATTGTATCCTCATTCTAAATTCAAAAATAACATTTGTCGTCTTGCACCGTGGTTTGGGTTAACTGTGGTATCACAATCAAGATCATAAGTAGACATATTAAGATTCAAGTACAAGTAACAGCTTCTCTACTCAACTGTTTTCAAGCAAGCTCTTAAACTAAATAAATCAGTTATCTCTTACTTTAAATGAATTTTATATCCTAAAGCTGCACTACAGTAAATATTAAAAAAACAACATAAAATATTCTTAAGGATTTGCTTAATGTCACTGGATCTTTCTCAATTAAAGGTCCCAAACTACACTAAAGCAGGTAAGGATAGCTGATGCGTCCCACAAAAAGAGGAAACTTTATGCTTTATTTTAAAAAAAGACAAGAATAGCTAACATAAGGCTAATAATGATTATAATGATGCAGTCCCAATTGTCTGGAAGGAAATGAAGAATGTCAGCATATAAATCCATGAGCTATAATGATTAACAGATATTCCTGTTAGGAAGCCAAATTATTCTAGACTTTACAGCACATGAATTGACGCAACATACCTTGAAATTCCAATTCTTATGGAAAATAAAGCTTTTACAAATTAAATTAGTTCAAAGCAGCCAAATAATCAATCCTTTTAAGTGTTAGGAAAATAGGTAACATGAAGCAATGATTTTACTCTTCCACATAACCTACTTGTTGCGTAGAACAAGTGACTTTTTCAAAACATCTAAAGCATTCTCTGTGTTGCTTCCATGTCCGAATGAAGCAAGCTTCACCATTTCTTCTTCCTCTAAGTTTATGTCAGTTGCCCTGAAGTACAAAACAGAAAGAGCAAAAACAAATCTTAATATCAAGTAACATAAAGGAAATTCAATTCCCGGTTCGTCTAACTAATGTTGCACATTTGATAACCGTGTTTACAATTTGAGAGCAGCAAGTTCTTTTGCCAATGCCATGCTCCTCTCCTGTAGCTTAGCAATCTCTTCTGTTTTTATTGATAGTTCCTAATAAAAACAAATAATTGAAAACTACGCATGACGGCTAAACTGCATCATTAAGATTATATTGTGAAGTGGCATTCACCTCCATTTTCATAAAAAGAAGGTGCTCTTTGTACTCTTTCACTTTCTTAAGTTCCTCCTTCTGAAGCTCCTCTCTCGTTGCTAACTGTTTCCAAGCAGAAAGCTTGGTACAAGAAACTGTTCTCTTTAGATCAGGAAAATAAAGAACAAAAAAAAAAGGACAAGCAAGCATGATAAAGTGCGTTCCAAGTGAAAGCAACTGTTTAAAAATGGAAATCACGTTTAACGTATTTCAATTGCACAAAAATAATTTTAAAATGGAAAAGACAGAATTTTTCAACAACAGAAATCTTCTTTTTAATTTAGCCATGCAGCAGCTTTCTTTAACTGAAAAAAAAAAAATGAAGTGCTGAAACATTATATCGTTTTATTATCTATGTATTTTTCATTTATATTTAAAAATAATCTCTTGCATCAATGATTAAGGAATCATAAATAATGATTTTAAATTCTAGCAACCAAATGAGAGAAATTTGACTTCATATGCCTTGTAATGCACCTATTTGAAGAAATATGCCGGCTAATGTCTTTTTTTTTCTTTAAATTTAAAGAAATATGACTGAAACTTCATTACAGTTAAAAATACCCTTAATGGTAAATATGAGTTATAGTCTCTCATAGACTCACAAACATTCAAATAACAATGCTGCTTTAATTTCTTCCAATGACCTCCATAGCAGGCATGGATCGCTTCATCGTGATCTCTTCCAAGGCCTCTTAAGTCTTGACCAGCATCTATTGCTACATTATATTCTAAGTTTAGCAGTCTTGATATATTTTTTAAGTTGGTGAAATAATAACGTGCAAAAAAGGATAAAAATAAGAAATTTTGTTATAAAAATTAATTTAGATGTAAAAACTTCAAGAATATATATATATATATATAAGGTGGCCCGTAAGAAGTAAGAGAGCAATTTGAGATGGTAAAAATTCTGTATTTTATGATATTTATAATATATTAGATACTAAATAGGATGAAATATATGTTTGCACTAGTCAAACAAAGATATAAGAAAAGTATAGATTTAGTTCAAGTAAAAAAATGCAAAGGCATCTACCAGCAATTCTCCTCCCATCATCCTCTCACACATTTCAATTCGCTAAATTTCTAAATCGATCGAACTCCTGGATTAAGTAAACACGATAATTAGTGCCAAACTAGGGGCAAAAAAGATGTGAAATTTGGTGTGATTTACAATGTCCCTTTTGTTTGGCGGGATTTGTACTTAATCCAGCATAAATCACTAATTAAAAGCAGCTTTGAAACAGCCCCTTATGGCCTCATACCAAGCAAGAAATCTGATACATACTTAAGCTAAACTAAATTAATCATAATTCTATATTCAGATTACAATCACTAATTATAAACAGTTTATGTGACAATGAACCAGACAGGCTGAGAAAGTTAGCTGAAGAAGGGTCAGGGCAAGCTTCGCAGCTTCCATTATCTTTTACCTATGTGTTTTCTTTCACCTCCCTCAAGCCCGTTTCAACCCAAATAGCAGTTTTATATCCTCATAGACCATGAATGAGCTCTTGTCTTTTCCGTAATTAACAGACGGGAAACTTAGGGAGACTATGAAAAATGGTAGTAATCCGTGTACCTCCTCCTCCAATTTCTTGAGATGCGCTTGCTGATTCTCGGACGCGGTGGTCATTGCCGCAAGCTTCATTTCCAGCCTCCTTACCTCCTCAGCTAGGGTTTTGGCATCAGCATTGGCAGGGCCCTGCGTCGACAATGATGAAGATAGCTCGGTAGAATCACCGGTGGACTGAAAGTAGAGGCGAGTGAGGTTTTTGCGAGAACATGACTGCTTGCAGACGGGGCAAGTTGGCTTCTTCCCCGCCGGACAGTATTCCAGCCATTGCTGAATGCTGAAACACAAAAAAGAATGAAGTGCAAAATGATCGACCTAGAGAGGTTCGTGACAGGACGGAAGAGAAGGCGTTTTGCGATCAGTTTACCAGAGCTCGTGAAAGACATGGCCGCAAATGGGGAGAGTTTGGAGATCCTCAGTGATGGGTTTGAGGTCCTCGAAGCAGATAGTGCAGATGGCCTTCTGCATGCCGCTGCTGGCGGTGGTGAAGTTCATCAAATCGGCCATTTGTAAGCGCAGATTACATTAGGGTTTCTGAAGAACAGAGATTTTTCCTCATTTTTAAGTGCCCTGCGATAGCTTCAGCATACAATAAGGGCCGTAGCAACAGCATAAAAGAAAGAAGCGATCATCTTATTGTCTCCGCGAGGCGAGCGGGATATTTCAACAGCCGTGAAATTGGGCTAAACGCGGGAACACTCGAGAGATTATTGCGTGATCAAGTTGATCCACGGTCAGAAGTATTTCTGTTTTTTTTATAAAAAAAAAATTTAGGTGGAGCCCACCGAAATACATCCGGACCGTAGATCAGGTGATCTACGGTCCGGATCGGCTGCGGGCGGGGGCCGATCCGCATGTATGGAATAATTTTTCGGAACACTGCGGATTCGATGGAGAGAATTGTTTCTTAGAATGGCAAAAAATATTATTTAGAATAATATACAAAATTAGATATACCTCATTTAATAATGAGTATTCAAAATATTAAAAGATAAAAAAATAATTAAAATTACAATTAATACAATGATTATATTATTTTTAACATGCAGAAGGTGCATGTCTCGTGCTACATGGCCTCGAGTGATTATGTTCATCTCTTATCAGCGTCGGCAGTGGAATATCATGGACTGTCAGCCACTCCTCTGGAGCATCAATGGTTTGTTTCGCCAAATCCCAACCCAAACCCATTGATTCTCGCTTCAATTCCTTAAAAAATTTTCAATATTTCTTTAATTGATCTCATTTGTTCTTCGATTGCATCTGGTCATACTCTCTCTCTGTACTCTCCTTGACATTTTTTATAATATTTCTCAGGTTAATGTCAATAATACAAATGTCACAGAAGATTACTTTTATTTCTTTGTCCCACAATACGGGCAAACCAGTCTCTTTGGTTTTAGTCATTTTATTACTATGATAGTAAAAACAAATAAACATAAATAAGAGCAATTGAAGCAATCAAACTGTATACGTCTCCTGGAAGTGGTATGAGCAATGAATTACAGTGGCTATGCATAATATTCTACCACATAATTTATCTGGGGCTATCTGATGCAGTGATTAACTTCAGATAATGTATGTGTGATTAAAAAAAAAATGTTTTTCTTAACATAAAATTTGAGAGTGGTATGCATGATCATGCTTATACACTCCACAACGACATATGTTTCCTACCAGTGAACATAAATAATAATGGCAAATATGATATTTTACCCTTTCTCACAATATTTTCTCTTTATGTCTCAAGCGGTATCAGTAACTAATCTTTTGAAAAATAGGTACTCATGAGCACACTCAAACAGACCATAGATGCATATGTTTCCTAACAGTGAGCATAAAAAAGATAGCAAACATGATCTGCTACATTTTCTTACAATATTTTCTCATTTGTATGTTCTAACAGTTCATAACTACAAATGTTTCATACCAATGAGCATAAATATCATAGTAAAGATGGTTTGTTGCCCATTCTTATAATGTTTTCTCATTATATACCCCAGGGGGTATCAGTAACTATGTGTTGTAAGGTGTTATTGTTGTATTATTGTAGTCATATTGTGTCATTATTGGAGTGTTATCATGACTTTATTTTACCACTAAAAAACACCTCAATATCATCGCAATAACACCACTCAAATAGACCACAACTACATATTTTTTCTAGCAGTGAGCATAAAAATGATGACATAAATGATATATTGCCCTTTCTTACAAAATTTTCTCATTATATGCCCTAAGTGATATTAGTATTTATGTATAATATGTCATCACAGTAATTTTCTGAGACTATCTACTTCACTATCTCTCTTCAGAGTGGGTGTGTGTGATTGAAAAATATGTTTTTCTAAGCCTAACATTTGCAATTCGATTTGCATGAGCATGCGTAAACAAACCACAACTACATATGTTCCCAACAGTGAACATAAACAATAATGGCAAAGATGATTTGTTGCCCTTTTTTACAATATTTTCTCATTATATGCGTCAGGATTGTTAATATCTATGCATAATATGACATCATAGTAATTTTCTGAGATTATTTATTTCACAGCCTCACTTCAGAGAGTGTGTGTGTGATTGAAAAATATGCTTTTTTAAACCTAATATTTGCAATTTGATTTGCATGAGCGTATGCAAATAGACCATGACTACAAATGTTTCCTAACAATGTGCATAAGAATGATGACAAAGATGATTTATTATTTTTTCTTCCAATATTTTCTCATTATACGCCCCATGCATAATATGTTATCAGCGGATTTTGTTGCCTCAGTTAGTATCCATGCATAATATGTTATCACAGTAATTTTCTGAGGCTATTTATTTCACTTCCCCACTTTAGAGTGTGTGTGTGATTGAAAAATATGTTTTTTTAAGCATAACATTTACAATTCGGTTTGCACGAGCATGCTCAAACATACCATAACTACATATGTTTCCTAGGATTGAGCATAAAAATGATGACAAAGATGATATGTTACTATTTCTTACAATATTTTCTCATTATATGTCCCAAGGGATATCAGTAGCTATGCGTAACATGTAATCACAGTAATTTTCTCAAGCAATCTATTTCACTGTCTCACTTTAGAGTGTGTGAATGATTGAAAAATATGTTTTTCTAAGCATAACATTTGCAATTCGGTTTGCATGAGCATGCTCAAACCCAGCATGCTCAAACCCACCATAGTTACATATGTTTCATAGTAGTGAATATAAAAATGATGACAAAGATGTAACTATATTTTTCTCATTATATGCTACAAGGGGTATTAGTAACTATACATAATATGTCATGACAATAATTTTCTTAGGCTATTTATTTCACTGCCTCACTTTAGAGCGTGTGTGCGTGAATGAAAAGTATGCTAAACAACGATACCAGAAATATGAACGAAAATTTTGTTATACGGTGTAAATCCATGAGAAATGACAAATTCTCAAATATAATATAGAGAAATGTGATACCAGAAGGAGATGATGTCCAGAACGACATGTTAGGTCAGAGGAAGCAGAAGCTGCATGGGGGAGGTAAGGGCAAAATACGAACGCGAGGTGTAATCCAGGGGCAAGCTTGAAAAATATCGGAGAAGAAACGCGGGTCGCGGGTTCTCGGTCAGGATTTTAGAGTCAGTTGCTTTTTTATTTTGAAAAATAATTTTAATTATATACATATGCATATATATATATATAATTTTGAAAAATATATTTTTGATTTAAAAAATGAGACTAAAAATATCTCATACATTTTAAGAGTTTAAGTAACTGAGTGCAACACTACAAGCAATGCACTTATCTAGAGGAATATACACATTACTTGGTAGCGGACTCGATTAAATAAACTAAAAATGTTATGACATATGTTTGGTCTACAAACATTTTTTGCATGACTGACAAGTTCCTCTACCTAATATAAAGATTAGACAAAGTTTATATTACTTGGGTTCTTTAGTTCTATATAAAGACAAACCTCTATAGTTATTTATATCTCAAATAACCGAAGTCACATAAAAAAAAATCTTGATAATGATTTGAGGTATTTGTCTTCAAGTTTTCAACGTTTAGGTTTTCAATGTTGGACAGAAGGAAGCTATCTAGACCGCCCAATTAAAATAGTTCATATTTCTGCATTAATTTCACTCATAACTCTATGAATAGAATTTCATCCCTCTTATGAGTGGGGGGGGGAGTTTGAGACTTAAGAGTGAACTTAAAGCTTTGAAAAGGAGCTAAAGTCCACCACAATCTGTCATCATCGATTGTCCTAGACCACCGCCGATCGCCGCAGATTATTGTTGACATTCGTCGATCGTCGTTGACACTCGCTGATCATTGTCGACCACCGCTGACCGTCATGAATCACCATTAACCACCACTGACCGGACGCCTTCAATCGAAGTTGTAAATTGGAAAACCTAGTAACTATCTCCCGTTTGTGGGACAAGGGGTCTCAGTAATCATCAGCATATAACGAATTTTTACAACTGGGTCAAGCCCCATAATTTTTTTCCCTTACATGTTTTTTTCCTCATAAAAACTCTTGGTGTCATTACTGGTTGTTTTCTTTCATCTGAGTGTGTACTGAATTCTCCTGAAACACTAAGAAGATAATCGATTACTCCACCACTATGGTTCTTTTAGCGCACATCATATATAATACTAAGTAAAATTGAATATAACGAGTCACAAGTCAATTTAAAGCTGAAGCTGATCCTAATAATTCAATTTGAGCTAGTTATTTTTCAAGCTCTAGTCCAAACAAGCTAATTCTAAGCTGAAACGGATATAAATAACTCATTTTGAGTCGGCTTGTTTCAATTTCAAGTTAGCTCGACTCGAAATCAACTTAACAAGCCACTAGCCGATTTCAAACTGCACTAAATCTATTCAATCTGACTTTTAAAAAACCTCAATTCAACAAGAAATCACATAGTTAAGACGTCTATAATAAGACGTTGTTACTCATAGTTTTAACTTCAACAATATTTGAATAAATAAAATCTAATAAAACCAATTAATTAACAATCCTTAAAGATTTCTTCTTTTTTGGGTAAGATGAACCTAAATGATAATTAGGTTAGAGATTAGTGATTAATGGTTAGAGCATGCTTTGAACCCGAGTCTTTTAGTTGGAGAGAAAAGTCTCTACCAACTTCTAAGAATATAATAAAACAAATTATGGTGAAAAAGTAAAAATCAAGAAAAAAAAATCAATGAAATTTGATAAAGAAACAAATTATATTGATTTAAAAACAATCAAAATCTCAAAAAGCTTTTTTAATATTTATAAAAATAATTAAATATTTTATTAAATATCAAATATGATATATTTCATGTAAAATAAAATAAAATAAAATTTAAAAATAGAAAATAAAATTTTAAAATAAATCAACTCTCTCGGCCAATTAAATTTTGACACATATATAAATATGAAACTATGGTTCCATATTCAAATTTGTCTCTTTATTCAAATAGTCTTCACAATCTTATATATATATATATATATATATATATATATATTAAGAAAAATGTATAAATTTAATAAGTTTCGTATTAAATGTTTTAAAAAGACATTCAAAATTTTTATAAATAAATTTAAATTATTTTTATGATCCTAAAATAATTTTCATCTTTGTAAATTTATTTCTTAATTTAGAATAAAATAATTTTTCTCTAAAGTAATTTGAGCCAAATTTATCTCTTTCATATGTTAATACAAAAGTATAATAATATATATTTCAATTTTTATAATTATTTTTTTTAAATAAACCAATAAAAAAATGACCACAAAAAGCTCAAAATAGTCTTGAAAAATAAAAATTCATAAAATTCAATACTTGGGAAAAAATAAAACTAAAATGAATAAATAAATAGAAGAAAGTGCACTCACTTATGCTCCATGTAGATTTATCATGAGAGAAGCACATGCATAAAATAGGGATGTCAAAACGGTTCGTTGTTCTCGAATAGCTCATATTCGACTCGTTAAGAAGCTCATGTTCGGCTTGTCGCTAAATTAACGAGCCGAACACAAACAAAGATTTGTTTGTTCGTGTTCGGCTCGTTTTCGCTCGAAATACTACTCATCAATTATAATTTATATATATATATATATATATATATATATATATGAGTAGTATTTTTAAAAAAACTAATTGACTACAAGACTGTAAAGATTTATAATAAATTAAATGTATTAATTAAGAAAATAGGATAAAAATTATTAAATTAGATTCAAATGATATTTTAATATAAACAATAATTTTTAAATCTTGCCCCAATCTTTAACATCTTATCGTTACGTGATTAGGGTTGTTAAAACTACTCTTTGTTCGCGAACGTCTCATGTTCGGCTCGCTAAGCAAACAAGTCAAACACAAACACACTTTTTGAACTCGAAATATAAACGAGCCCAAAGCTGATCATGGGCTCGCTCGTGTTCGGCTCGTTTACACCCCTAGCATAAACTCGTGTTTCACTAAGGAAAATACACGCCAAATGAGCATAGGATGACAAGTACCGACATATAATGTAATTTCATTGTAGGGATGAAATTACAATATATAATTTATTCAAGTATATTTCATTATATCATTTTTTCATATTTAATTTTACTATTTAGTTATGGTAAAAGATAATGAATCGAATGGAGGATCCGATCCATCCATTTTATTGTAGCAATGGGAGAGATGCTAGTGAAATGATATTTTTCATTAATGGTTGGTTATGTAGTGCAATTTGAATATGTTAGACAACAATATTAAGTTATTAGTCATGACATGAACAATCATCATTTTCTTAATCTTGGATGCGATTCACATCGAAGCGCCACAACTATCGAACAACAAGACAAATCTCAACCTTATAGTTACATGATAATACTCGTGTTGGTTCGTAAATCACCAGCGATGATGCCTTCTTTACTTGCTTATTTTCTTTCGTATTCTCATTATATTTTTGGTCAAGAGCACTCATCAGAATAAGAATAAGGAGAAGAAGATGTTGACAGTCAGAGAGGAGTTAGTAATCGTCTTCGTGATCGATCGAGTGGGGACTGGATCGTAGGCCAGAGTGTCACATACCATCTCATTTCAATGTATACGATGTTGATAGCTCTTTTATTTTTTTAATTTATATAGAAAGATTTTTTTGAACTGCTAAACCGTTGTATTTACTGGTGGCACGATCTAATTAGTGAGAATTTGATAAAACAATAAATTTTCAATTTCTCCCTCAAATATTAAAATTCATCGTAAATTGTAATGCAACAATGACATGAAATCCTTACAAACTATTGTTTTAATCACATCAAGAGCAGTTTCAATGGCTGTTATATTCTTATTGTAATTGTACAAAATACATTCCATAAATAAAGAACAAAAAAATGAATAAAGGTACTCGACTCTTGCGACAATGATCTTCAGACTTACTCTACTCTCTCTCCTTCACTCGACTCTAACTCTTGAGGTGTGTTCACAAAAGACAATCGGAGATCAAACAAAGACATGTAAATTGCAATGTTTTGGGTGCTACTATTATTTCAGAAATAAGGTGAGCCCTCAAATCTAATTACGAGATTCTTAGGGTGCATTTGGGGCGGCAGTGCGGCGCCACACAACATTTTTTTCTATCATACAAACACAACTGCTCCAAACAGATCCTTAATCTATTTCTAAACAATGCAACATTTAACTTTCTATTTTCCCATTTTATTATTTTGCTTTCTTTAGCTACTTTTCCAACTCAAATTTAAATCATCCCTTATAATTCTAACGGTACACAAATGCCTACTCTTTATTATCTCAGCCGTTCATAGTGAATCCAACGCATCCAAATAAAAATTGACAATCAATAAGTAGGATAGTTACGTACAGATCACCCGAAACATTAATATTTACAAATTAACTGTTCAGATGATTTTTTAGAACTACCGAACCAACGTATTTACACGTGCCACGATCGAACTATTGAGAATTTGATTAAAAAAAAAGTTGAAAATATGGGTTGTTGTTTTACCATGAATTTCGGTATTCGAGCGAGCGAGCAATTGGAAAATGAATGGAAGAGGCTCGTTGATTGGTAAATAGTAAGTTTCCGGTGGTTTATATATAGGATTTCTTTAAATAGGAATTCTCTTTCAATTGACAACCAACAATTTCATTCTACATTTTTTCCTCCACTCGTGCCGCCCGCAGAAACTAGGCGATACGAGCGGATCCGTGGACGATGGCTTGAATATACAAGTGGGATCTTCTCCTTTTCTCTTTATGCGATAGAATCCTGAATTCATTCGTCTAAGGTCAGTGAATCAATTTTCGCCTCTTGCTTTCATTTTTTTTTCCCCTTCTTTTCTTCTAATGGTATTTACATATTTCATTAAATTTTATTGCCTCAAATTGAAGAAAGTATTACGTGCGGTCTTGATGATGGTCTAGATGCGACTAGGCTGTCGTGTATTCGTACAGTTGTCCAGATGTGCGTTCGCCGCAAGTAATATTTGTTTCTCAAATTATGATTTTCTTTTACTGGTTGTCAATTATCGATCAACAATTCACATATGTCCCAAAAAAAATATAATTTTTATGGGGTAATTATAAGCAGGCCATATGAAATATTACTATTTACAAATCAACCACCCAATTGATTTTTCTGAACTATTGAAATGATGAATTTATGCATGTCACGATCAAACTATTGAGAATTTGACGAAAATGAAAAATATGGGTCAGCGTTTTACCATGAATTTTAATATCTGGGTGAGAACTTGAACAATGAATGAAAGAGAGCGGTTGATTTGTGAATCGCAATGTTTCGGGCGGTTTGTATGTAATTGCAATTTTTATTTTTATTTTCGCTTTTTAACTTTTGTATCTCCTAAAATTACTTGAGAAAATAATTTTTCATTAGATTTTATTCGTTAAATTTGTTTACGTGAAATAATGAATAGAAAATATTTTGTTTCACACCTTTTCTATAACCAGCAATTGTTTTGTTCAAAGACAACAACAACATGCATCATGACAACGAACGTGATATACCTTGGCGTGGAATTTTTTTCTCCATGGAGAAAATGAATCACGTCTGGAGTCCGGACATAACTCTTCGTCGGAACAACGGACGAAGAGTTGTGTCCGGACTCCAGACGCAATGCTTCTTCGATTTCTTTAGGCTACTCTTGCATCGCCATATTGAGACTGCTCTTATCTTTTGGTTGTGTCCGGACAACCATATTGATACAAGGTTGTGGCTTTTATTTGTAATTGATAGACTGCATAAATGTGAGTCGAGTTCTTTTAGCTCTTAAGTGATCAACAACAAGAAGAGAATAAAAAGACGCATCTCCAATTAGAGCGAGGCGGTATACTCAGAACAGAGGGAGGGCAAAAAAACATACGTCGAGGAAACTCCATTATGCTCAGGGCCGAAACCCCTCAGCAATAGAGAACGTCAGAGAAAGAGATCGTGACCGCTACGATTTTCCCTAAAACACAAAAAAGCAAAAGGGACGAAGAATATGATAAAACCAACCTACATGTCTATAAAAATGTGTTGATCAAACAATAATGTTCTAATCATTTATTATCTATAAAAATAATTCACTTTTACTCCTTTTATCTCAAATTAAAGTCCAAATTATTTATTTAAAAACTCTGCAATAAAGCTGAGCCACGAGTTTAGATAGGGAAATGGGCGGCCCAAATGCAACTGCTAAAATCGACGCGGCACCACCCTGTTATGGCTGGCATCACATGCAATCTTGCATGTCATGTCTCTTGGCCCCTATGCTTTCTTTATATTTACAAATCAACCCCTCTCTTTCTTTCAATTAGCACTCAAATTCTATTTATGTAAATATGAAAGTTTTGAGGGTGGGATATGTAAATACATACAAAATTCTCTCCCAAGCATGTAAATTTCCCTTGAACCTTGATATCATTCAAGGAATTAGTATATCATATAAATAAATATGAATTATTTCTATAAATAACAATATTAAATATATAAATTCAAAATAATCAAGTAGTCTTTATGTGGAGTTAATATTACATGTGAACCGTGATATTCCAGTGATATTGCAATAAAATAACACCGTAATATCAACATTAATTTCCAATAATACGAAAAAAAATATTCCGTCCAGACGTTTGCACGACCAACTATAGACTTCTGTGTATATCGTCTACCGCTAAAAGTGCATGATAACTTGATGGCCGATGATTGATTGTCCGGGCAGAATATTTTTTTCAATAATAAATAATACTACACAAAATCCACAAGTATCTTTCGTTTGTGTGAACACCACAAACAAAACTGAGCAATAAACCCTCACCTTTCGTTTTTGCAGAGCGGGAGGGAGGGAGAAGAGCAGCAGCCATGGCGGCCGGCAAGTGCTCGTCAGTGAAGCAGCAGGAAGAAGAACAAAAACGCCCCATTCGAGAAGAAGAACCCATCATCAGAGTTCCCACAGCGAAACCCCCCTTCACCCTAAGCGAAATCAAGAAAGCGATACCCCCCCATTGCTTCCACCGCTCCGCCCTCCGCTCCTTCACCTTCATCCTCCACGACCTCCTCATCTCCACTTTCCTCTTCTTCCTCGCCCTTACGCTCCTCCCCTCCCTCCCCTCCCCTTACCCCGTCCTCCTCTGGCCCCTCTACTGGTTCGCTCAAGGCTGCACCCTCACCGGCCTCTGGGTCATCGCTCACGAATGCGGCCACCACGCTTTCTCCGATTCTTCACTCCTGGACGACATCGTCGGCTTCCTTCTCCACTCCTTGCTTCTCGTCCCCTACTTCTCATGGAAATACTCCCATCGCCGGCATCATTCCAACACCGGATCCCTCGATCGCGACGAGGTCTTCGTCCCCAAACCCCGATCATCACTCCGCTGGTACTCCTCTTACCTCAACAACCCCCTCGGCCGCATTGTTTCACTTATCGTTACCCTAACCCTAGGTTGGCCGCTTTACCTCGCCTTCAACGCCTCCGGCCGCCGATACCCTCGATTCGCCTCCCATTTTGATCCATACTCTCCAATCTACAATACCCGTGAGCGCGCGCAGATTTTCCTCTCCGACGCCGGGATCCTCGCGGCTCTGTACCTTCTCTACCGCATCTCTGTCGCGTTTTCACTATCATGGATCATTCGCATCTATGGCGTTCCTCTTCTGATCGTGAATGCGTGGCTCGTGATCATCACCTACCTGCAGCACACTCACCCTGCCCTTCCGCACTACAATTCCGAAGAATGGGATTGGCTTCGCGGCGCACTGGCGACTGTGGATCGCGATTACGGGTTCTTGAACCGTGTATTTCATAACATTACTGATACTCATGTGGCGCACCATCTGTTCTCGACCATGCCGCACTACCACGCCATGGAGGCGACGGAATCCATTAGACCGGTGCTGGGTATGTATTACAGGCGTGATGACACCCCGGTTCTGAAGGCGCTGTGGAGGGAGGTGAAGGAATGCGTTTATGTGGAGGAGGAGGAGGAGGTGGTGGTGGGGAAGAAGAACGGGGTCTTCTGGTACTCCAACAAGCTTTGATTAAGGTTTGGAGGAGATGATTTTGATAGTGGTGATTGAAGCTGTTGGCTTCGGCTTGTTCTCTGTGGGAGATTACAGAGCTGTTGCAGGTGATGAGTTCTGCTCTTTTTTGCCTATGGTAATTGAGTTTTTTTTTTTTTTTTTTTTTTTTTTTTTTTTTTTTTTTTTTTTTTTTGCTTTTTATTCAGTGATATCTATTGTGGCTTGTCTTTTGTTTTATATATTTTTTTCTCTTAAATTAAATGGAGAAAATTACATTTTTTGAGTGAATTTTTTACATTTTTTAAGAGGTTTTATAGAAATTATAGAATATACATGATGTTCTAAGATAAAATAGTGTACTATTAGTCAACATTTAAATTTATTATTTTGAATGAATTTTATGATTAAAGCTGATCAAATATGAAATTTTTGAAGTTGTCTTCATGAGTAAAAAATATTTCGTCAGGTGTCTTAATACAACTATTTTTCGTCAGGACTCCAATTAGAGTATTCCTGCAGCAGGACTCCAATCAGGGTCTGCCACATGTACAGACAAACTCACTAATGTATTGAATTAATTATTTTTTTTATTAAGCTGGGTATGCCAAAACACGTGATAGACATTGATTGAAGTCCTGATGCAGTTGCTGCAAAACTGCATCCGGACTCCTGTTGCAATAGTTTTTCCTTCATGAGGGAGTAAAGGGTCTAAAAAATCTTGCTTTATCTTCATGTGAATAGCATATTTCGAGGTTATCAGTGATCACATGTGTCAATACAATTTGCAATAGCATGTGAATGATCAAGGGGCATTGACATTAGTGTTGGTTGCCTGAATCAATCCTCTAAGCAATGACATACATCCATATTATGCATTGGTCTTAAAAATGATGGAATATGTCAACCTTTTATTTGCCTTGTTAAGTGATGACGTAAGTTGATGATAAGCTTTGGCCTTAAAGGTGAATGTGTTCATCGGCGGTGCCATTAGCCTTAGAGGCAACGACAGGCATAGAGAGTTTGCATCAACATTAGTGGCAGAGAGGAGCATCATTGGTGTACATCAGTCATGTGGATGATGGTGAGCGACAAGGGTTGGAGGTGTGTAATCGGGCTACTCTTGTCGAGCAAGTGTAGATAGGTGATAGGTGATAGTATTCAACCATCTGCAGATGGGTTCATATGGTCTGACAACTATGGTCTGTTGATGCAGGTCAAGCAAATATAAATGTGTGACTGTAGCTAGGCATTGATATAAAGTTGAAGAGATCGTGTGGTAGAAGTCAAACGACCATGGATAAGTAGTTTTGATAGGGTGGTCGTAGTCGGGTGATGGTGATTAGGCAATTTCTAGTTCAACAAAGACATCACAAGACTGGTTGGGGGAGCAGCAGTGCTAAGCCAAGCGCGTGAACGTCTGTGCATTGGGAAAAATTTTTTCCATACTGAGTGCGAACTCAACTTTGCGTGCAAAATCCAGTAATATGTCGCCATGTATGCTACTGCGGGCCCACATCATAAACACCGCGCGGTGAATTACTCCAATAACCTCCATGGTTCTACTTCAATAACCCTTGCAAATCAATTCTAATGATCGCTTCAATAACTCTGCAATGACATCTCATGGTGAACCGCTTCAATAACCTCCGCGGGCGTCTCGAATAACGATGCAATAACCCTTCAATGAATAATGTGACTAGTGTCTAATTTCATGAGGGAAAAATTATTGCATACATACACCGCATGCAGAGATGCATGCAGTGTCAGATCCTGACCGTAGATCACAGTGATCTACGGTCAGGATGCAATCAAAATTTTTAAAAAAAAAAATTTAAAGTGGGCCCCACTGAAATACATCATGAACGTAGATCACCGTGATCTACGGTTAGGATCTGACACTGCATGCATCTCTGCATGCGGTGTATGTATGCAATAATTTTTCCATGAGATGACCAAGAAGGTAATATTATATATTTTTTTTTATCATTTTATTGAATTTGAGGTGTTATTGAAAGATTATTGTGACGTTATTAAGGACTTATTGGATTTCTTCTGTGGGGGTTATTGAAGTGGAACCACTGAAGTTATTGGAGTGGTTCACCGTAGAATGTTATTGGGGGTTATTGCGGCGTTATTGAAGCGGTTATTGGAATTGTTTTGCGGATGTTATTGAAGCGAGACTGCAGTGTTACTGGATTGGTTCTTCTCGCGGTGTTATTGAAGGGTTATTGCGGCTTTATTAAGGACTTATTGGAGTTATTCTGCAGTGGTTATTGAAGTGACACCACAAAAGTTATTGGAGTGGTTCACCGCGCTTTGTTATTGGTGGTCATTGTGACGTTATTTAAGCGGTTATTGAAATTGTTTTGTGGGGGTTATTGAAGCGGGACATGGCGTTATTGGATCGGTTCTTCTCGTAGTGTCATTAAAGGGTTATTGCGGTGTTATTAGGGACTTATTGGAGTTATTTTTTCGGGGTTATTGAAGTGGAACCGCAGAGGTTATTGGAACAGTTCACGACGCGATGTTTTTTAGGTGGGTTCGATGTAGCACACATGATGACATATTACTGGAGTCCGAGCGTAGAGCTGCGTCTGCACTCCATATGAAAAAATTTCTCGTGCGTTGGGGTAGAAGTGTGCGTGCATATGTGCTAATGGAGTGCATGTGTGTGCTAGTGGCTTGAAAATAGCTATTTATGGACATATCGAACCATAACCATGAATAGCTCAATAAACTTGGGAAGACAATCCTAATGTGTTTAAATATTGTTCAAAAGTAATTTCTATCAAAATTTATGCTACTACAAACCTTTACCTCTTAATACCCAAACCAATAACCTATTATGAAAAGATAATATGTTTTGCTATAAGCAACATTAATTAAAAATAATATAACTATTATTTTCTCTAGAAGTATACTTTATCTTATTTCTTCTAAATAATACTAACATTGTCATTGTCGGGTCCAAAGTCTCGAATGTGAAAAATTCAGGGTTATGTTAAATAGCTGACAACCGTCATAACATTTTTGTCGAAAAAAATATGACATGAATTCTTTAAATCATTGTGTAAATGATATGACGTCTCTGGAAAGCGATGCGCTGCATGTCATGAATATAATGAAAAGTGTGCAAGGGTCACTGTACTGCCAGATGTAGTGTTAAATAAATAAGAGTTCCCACATGTATGCGGGCTAACAATTTAGTACATGAAACTAATATTAAGATAAAATCTTGAAATATGTGTACTCTCACAAGTATATTAATGAAATTAGTAGATATTATAGTTCATACGAAGATAAATATATTTTGTAGGCAGTTGTTGATAGGGATACGAGGGAAGCAATGAGAGGAGTGAACGAAAGAAATATGTGTCTCTAGGCCTCGTCGTGAGCTACGGCTCGAAGGTATGTGAGTTGTGGCTAGTCAAGGTCACGGACAGGGACGAAGCAAGAAATTTTTCTTATTGGGGCTACAAACTTTATAAATATATTTTTTTAAAATATATAAAAAATTTTTCTAAATTTTCTTGTAAAATATAAATAACCATCATGAAAAATTACTAAACTTTATATATTATAAAGAATTTAAAATAAAATTAGAATAATTTGCTTAATCATTTTCATCATATTGAAATATATATATATATATTTAGAAATACAACCTTCTGCATTCAATCATTAATTCATATAAAGTGGAACTCAAATAACAAAATCCACTTTACATGCATACCACCCAATTCCTATGTTTTTACATATCTAACACAAAAACTTTGCTTTTTTTTTTTTTTTTTTTTTTTTTTTTCATATTTACCACCCAAATCTTTCATAACACTTTGAAAAATATCACTATTTCAATTTTTAAAAACTGAAATACACCATTTTATAGATAGGAAAGGTGGCATGCATGTAAAAATTAAAGTTTAGGGTGTTAGATATGTAAATACAGAAGAATTGACTGGCATCAAAGCCTACACTGCTTGATCATTGGCACAAGTAGGGCTGTCAAAAAAGCTCGTTGATCACGAACAACTTGTGTTCGGCTCGTTAAGTTGCTCGAATTCGGCTTGTTCGTTAAATAAACGAGCCGAACACG